AGTTCGAAGTACCAATTTAAAATCTATTTACATAGCCCTGATTGTGTTTTCTCTAGGCATTGGTGTCTAATTTTCATTAAATTTGTTTATCATTACTACAACCGGATCCTTCTATTAAATCTCCAAGGGGCATATGCTTGACTGACAATGTATGGCACACAGCATCTAGTTCTCTTTGTTCACTCTTACAAAGTTTTTTTCACTTAGTTATTTTAATTTACTAACTTTCATAGATAGCCGCCTAAATTGCATATGAAGCAAATTTATGCTTCCTTTTTCTGGCTGGTAGTTGTATTAATGGTTTAAAATTATTAGTCTCAGTTCCTGGTGACTAAGTGACCATTTTTTTATGCATAATGTGTAATACTTTATACACTGATGTACATTACAAATTTAAAATACAAAATACTTAGAACACTGAGAAATTAAGTTTAAATGAAGAGCCAGAGGGTTAAATAACAGCCAAGTTTAAATTGGGATTTTGCGACTGGGCAACAGTGTTGGTCAGCATATGGGGTACCATGCTCAGAAAAACAGGCTTTGTTTTCATTAAAACTTTTCCATTTCTGCTTGTGTGGGTGCTGGCACTTCTGGTTTCAGAGTTAGACATTTGGTGATGACCTCCAAGTTCCCTTATCGAGATTCTCTATTCTTTCGTCAAGGTCAGCTTTCATTTTAGTAATTTTTTGTTTTCCAGAGTTATTGCACACTTAAGGTTTACATAAATTTGTTGGGAGTATATCTGGTGTTGTATCCATGAATACTGCTTGCATATTGAAAATGAAAAAATTTAAAGCATTGTGTCGATACACATTATTTACTGTTAGAATGTCTAGAATGTTGAGCAGATGGAGGGTGCTATCTGTTTGTTTATGCAATGTACCAATCACAGTAGCTAAACATCCTCATGTTTGTTTTCAAGTGATTGATCGGCCTTACCAAAGCTGTTGATATAGGACATATATGGTCCAAATATGGGAATGGTATGGGACAACATATGGCTAATGTATGGGCATTGCATGACTTTTAGATGTTAGCTCCCATATCAAACCCATAAATAGTGACTAGTGCCAACCAAGTGCATTGTATTGTCTTTTACTATGGGATTTCTACGTATTTCGTAAAGTTCCATACATTCCCCATAGGATCTGGTATGGGAATGGTATGGGTGAGTCCCATAGTGATACCATATGATGGCTGAACATTCTCTATGGGATTCCTACGTATTTCGTAAAGTTCCATATATTCCCCATAGTATCCATTAGGGGAATGGTATGCAACAATCCCATACCATTCCTATAATGACCCTGGACCATCCTCTATGGGATTGCTATGAGATTTTGTAAAGTAAAGTTCCATATCATTCCCATAGCATTCAGCAAAGCTGACATCTTATATTGGAACACTATGGGGTCCTTTGACTTCAGCCCCATATCTTTACCATATGATTCAGAAATTATTGATGGGACTGCGAGGGGACGAAATGTTAAAGGCAAGTAATGGTGACAACAACATATTCATCCACTAAAACCATATCTTTAATTGCATCTAAAATGCCTTGCAAAAAAAATCACAAATAACAAACTAAGAATCTTATATTTCTTCATGGTCAACACTATGAAAAAGTTATTTTCCTCTTGCTCGACACTATCTTTTCTGGCAACACTAAATTTTCTTTCTTTTCAGGCAATACGACTTAACTGGCCAACGCTGTCCAACTGTTACTCTTCTTTTCGATCGACACTATAATACGGTCACTGTTATATTCGGCCAAGACTATGAAACTGTTATTCTTCATTTTGGTCAACACTATGAAACAGATATTTTCGTTTTGGTCAACATAATGAAATTGGTAAACTTTTCTTCTCAGTCAACACTGAAATGTTGCATTTCTTCTGGGTCAACAACCATTCCCATACTTTTGCTTTGGTAAGGGCAATAATTGCTGAAGAAATGCACAGGTGAAATGCATCTCCTCCTCTTCTTTGTTAACCAGTGTTTAGTTGGCAGTGTGGTTGTCACTTGGGATTGAGATTGACAGAGTATATTCCATAGTTAATCAAAATTATTCTCTTGAGGGAAATGATAAGTGAGTTGGCACAACTCTTGTATCTCCAGCATCTGAACAAGTCATGTAAAATACCATCTTTCTTTTGTTGTATTGTGAACCTCTAAATACCTGGGGAGTAACTGAGTTGATAAAGAATTATGTTAAGTAGGAAGACAGTATTGAAAGGAAAAATTGCAATTTGCAAATCCTGAAAGGTTTCCCTCAGAAACTAACAGAACTCCCTGTAAAGGTATTTTATAAGTAAATAGTAATTGAAATAAAATAATCTGATGGATGTGGTCTTTTGGCTGGTTGAACTGAATTTGTTAGGAAACTGAATCCTTGAATTGCCTCATTGGTTTACATCCGTAGCATTCTTACCAACCTTCAGTAAAATTTCCCCTAAAAGAAGCTTGGAAAATTTGACTTCAAGTGATTTGAGGTCATTTAAGCTATGTTTCTATGTGTCATGACTGCCTAACTGCTGGAAAAATTGCCACCTCCCGTGAGTGGTATATCCAGTGCCTAAGAAGCATCCTTTGGCACATGTAAATTTATTGAATTTGGATTTAGAACTGTAATTGAAATTTGAAGTTTTGCGATAGGAGATGTCAAAGAAGTACACATTGTTCGCACAAAATGCTTTCAAGTTGGAATCCACTGTTTTGTGAACAGTTACAAATGTAAACACGATGGTAAGAATGCCTTTGTTCATTCAGTAATGTTCTCTAAGTCTGGACCATAACACTTGATGACAATTCTTTTGTTAAATTTTCCCTGCATTGTAATTTTGAAGATATCTTTTCCCTGCCCATTTTTTGTTGTATGGAGACCATGACAATACATGATTGTATTAGTATATTAATAGAGTTACCCCAATAAAGTTGTGAAGATCCTCATCACTATCCATAGCTGATGTAATGCTTGCCAATCAAGCAAAGTATTTTCAACTTTAAGGGATTATTTAAAATGTGCAGTAGTACATCATCATAGAACAATCTGTTTTTTTCTATGCTGCTGTCCAGTTTTTGTTGGACTGTGGACAGTTTGTTCTGACTGGTTTCCAAAATTGGACTTTACTTAAGTTTGCTCTTGGCTTTGTAATTGACAGGAGAATCTTGATTGAAGTACGATCAGACTGTTGTTAGGATACTATGAAATTTGCACAATAACCAACAACCAATTTCTTAAGTGTCTGTGAGTGCATGGAAAAACATTTTCTGCTCTCCCTAAAGGTTATTAACATAGGGAGGAACTTAAAAATGTTTTACCTTTGCTTTTACTTATTCACTTTGCACAAGTGTTTCACCTGAGGAGATCACAAAAGTAAGCATTTCTTGCTTTTGCTTCAGGGTATAACTAAGTTAATGAAAATCTGTTGACTCTATACTTGTTGTGTAGCACTGACAAAACAAAGGTTAATTATAAAAGTAAAATGAGGTTGCGTTTGATCAAAAGGATATTCTTTATCGATCATGAAATCATTTTAGACTGTGTTAAAAAATAAATCAGTAAGGAAAAAGTTGTTCAAAGGATATAATAAAATAAGAATTAAAGAAAAATAATTAGTAACTACTACGTTACATGAGTATTAGAAATTTTAAAAAAATGGCGTGAGATTGAGGTTACCAATTTCTTGCGGTTTGAGCTTTTTAAAGTAGGAAACACTTAAGTTAACCTCTGATTCAGTGCTCTCATCAGTGTGTACGTATCGGAACGTAAACAGTTTCATTTCTCATCACTTATGATGATTTGATTGTATGCAGAGCATGTCAAGTTATAGGAATTAGCCATCACAAGGATGAAAATTCATCTGAAAACCAAAAATGCTTCAACAGACTATGGTTCATTATCATATATTGCAAGCACCTGTCAATAATTTGAAGGTCTTTCATAACACACTCACAAATTTCAAGTTTGGCAACAACCCAAATATTTTATTCACATTATAACCTTGCTTATTTGACAGTAGAAAATCAAAGTCAATAAGAAGTCAACAATAAAAGTTTTGAAACAAAACAAACAGCAGTTTTATCATATACTAATTAGTGCGTGCATGTTCAGCCATCTTTCTGTTACACAGATAACTGTCAATGGCTTTCTAGCAATCCACAGCAGTTCCCGTTGTGTCAACATCAAAGAAAGAAATTGAGTATAATTAGTTAAATCTTTTCCGTTCAACTGGATCTAGGGTAAGCTTCTTCCTTGCCCTACTTACATTTGGTCCATCTAATTCCTGCAGTAAAAAGAAAAGCCGCACAATATGTATGGCAAAACTGCAGTGAAGGAGGGTATCCTCTGAAGTTTCCTCCTCTGATGGCGTACAGTTAGGTGGTGAAGTTCTCATCATTAAATATCATTAAGGATACTGGAATGTGAACGGCATCCCGCAGCACTGAACAAACAGATGCAAAGGTGTATGTTTAATTAGTTCCATTGGTTTTAACCATGTGTGGACAAACTTGGCTTGACATATACATTTTTCAAGATGTTTTTTTGTATATAAACTTGGGCAGTGTTGAATATTGAAATAAACTACCAAGTCTCTTTTTGGATCATTCATGTATGTATAGAAATAATTTTGTCATCAAGTTTAATGTTATGTAGGTGGAAATTGAGTGACACTTTGCTTAGATACTGCACCATAATGGAAGAATTAACCTACACGAAAGTCCACAATAGCAAAACCTGTGGTGACAATCTCAAACTCTCCTAGGAATTTAAGAATCGCTGATATTCCTCTTCTCGATGCAATAAGCAATGCTGTTGGGGTCCCTTTCTCTCAGGCACACCATGTGGACAAATTTGTGTCTGAACACTGTCCACCACCTTAAGGTCTTTTTGGCATTGCATTTGTTTTCCACATACTAAGCCAGCTTAACATGCTTTGCCTCTCTACCCTGCATTAAATTGAGGCCCAAGCCTCAGATGTTAAACTTCCTGGTGTGTGTTGGCATGAGGTCTTTAGCTTTTCCACTTGCTCAATGCGCACCTCAACTCTTGAGTAAATAGAAACTGCATCTCTGAATTTACTACAACAAATGCCAAAGTGTGAAGTTTCACAACTGACCCCTTTGAAAGAGAGTTGATATTCAGAAGTTCCTTTATAAAAGTGGCAAAATGCCAACAAAAGTACTTTGATTCAAGCCACGTGAATCCATATGAGAATGTAATACACAACCAATGCTTGGCAGAACTGGTTTTCAGCTGCACTCTCTGTTGCAATGCAGGACACAAACCAGACTCACCTCAAGGAAGCAACAACAGTCTCTGATCTTCCAGACAGTTCCCTTCTGCTTGCAGTTTTGAAGTGCCTGAAACGTCAAGTGTGGGAGACTACACAAGGTCTTTCTTTTGTGGTTCAGCGAGAAGCGAAAGAAGTGTTTTGTAGAGGCTCCGCCTTGAGTAAATCAACATACTTCCCCCCAACAGAGGAACAAATTCTTGTCTCAACTTGTTTTGAGCAATAAATTTGGTAATACGACTTCTTTGTTTGCCCATGGGATCTTTAAGTCTTTTCTTCGACTTTTCCACTTTCTCTGCAATGGCCAGTCTCTCAGTGTACTGCCATGGTTACCATGTTGCTTTAGGGCCACCAATAAAACCACCAATGGTTCCCGTGTTTGTTTGATTAACATTGGCAAAAGGTGAAAAGTAGGTTGGACAATTGTTTAGTTCTCGTGAGTGGGATGACATCCATTTTATGTCAGATGGTATCTGTTCAAATTTGAACACAACCTGCTCTCCCCTCTCAGTGGTCAATGTCTTCCCTTCAATCTGTCCCATTTCTCCCTTTAGGTGATTTGAGTAAGATTTCATGAGTGGATGATCTTCTTCACAGATGGCACCAAGGAGTAAATGATTATCATTAAAACATTGTACTCTGTTCAGCAGGTTGAGAAAGCAAACTAAATATGCAGCGACTGTGTCATCCGTGCCAAACGGCACGCCACCTGCCCCAACTGCCACATACAGTACTCTTCACTCAACCCAGCCAAAAGATCTCATCCTTCAGAATATTTTATTTCAATCATTATTTACTTATAAAAAACCTTGATAAGAAGTTCTGTTAGTTTTTGAAGAAAACTTTTCAGGATTTTCAAAGTTGCCATTTTTCCTTTTAATACTGTCTTCCCACCAAACAGAATCCTTTATCAACCCATTAATTAGCCAGGTATTGAGAGGTTCAAAATACAACGAAAGAAAGATGGTATTTTACATGACTTATCCGGGCGCTGGGGATGCAAGAGTTGTGCCAACTTACGTACCATTTCCCTCAAGAGAATAATTGTGATTAACCTTAGAATACTCTGTCAATCTCAATCCCAAGTGACAGCCACACTGCCAACGAAACACTGGTGAACAAAGAAGAGCAGAAGATGCATTTTGCATGTGTATCTTCTTAGCAATTATTGATTGCTCGTTTTAGAACAACCATGAGGGAGTTTTGCCCCACTGTTATTGATACATTTCATAACCAAACAGATAGCGCTCTCCATTTGCTCAACATTCTAGACATTCTTACAGTAAACGTGTATCAACACAATGATTTAAAGGTTTTGCATCTACAGCACAAAGGCCTGCTTAACTGGATCCCTTCCGAAATCATTTTCAATATGCAGGTAGTATTCATGGATACATCACCAGAAATGCTTCCCAAAAAAATTTATGTAAACTTAAGTGTGTAATAACTCTAGAAAACAAACAGTTGTCTATTCAGGAACTAATCTTTATGACAAAATCCTTCTAGACTTATCGTAACTTTAAATCTTCAATTTCTCTGAGCAACACTCTGAACATTTGCCTTAATATCTACCTTATCATCATTATCATTATCATGGTTACTATTTCTTTAAGTATTGTTCTTTTATCCATTTTTTGCTTAATTTTATTTCCTGGCTCTTCATTTGTACTATTTCTCAGTGATCTAAGTAATTTGTATTTTAAATTTGTAATGTATGACAGTGTATGAATTATTACACATCATGAATTAAACAAAATGGTCACTGAGTCGCTAGGAACTGAGACCAACAATTTCAAACCTTTGATACAACTACCGTTAAAAAGAGCCAAAATGATGATTAATATCGACCTTGATACTCCATTCGATAATTTTTCCTGCACCTTTAAGTGTTTTAGGGCCGTTAAGCTTTACAAACCTGTCTGCTGGTCGGACTGCGTTGTCGTTGGTTTCGATCAAGACGGCGAATATTTATTAAATTCACAAAGCTCTCTACGGCGCAGAATGAGGAGTGCCCAAAAGTTTTATTCTATATTTAACTTGCTCTATCTAAGTACCTTTACGCTGCATTATACTTGACTCTAGATCAGGTCCCACATAAGAGAAAATAGCTTTCAACCGCATGTACCTCACTCCTCACAAATTTTAATGCTCACGATAAGGTATTTTGAAAGTTTCATAACTCGGTAAAAATTTTACAGAATGCAATCGTTTTACCTTTGAAGTATTTTAATAAAGCCATTCTTAAATATGTAAAATAATAAGCTTTGTAGATTGGGAAATAAGGATTTGGTAGCGCTCGATATTTATAGCTTAATTATAGGGGTCACAGAAGACAAATTGAGCAGTTTGGGGTGACCTTTAAAATTGTCTCGTAAAAATAAAAAAAAATTAACTTGATCAAAACAAATGTGATATTTGTACATGGGATAGAATTGTTGACTTTCACTGAAAAACTTAGGGAAATCAGTGCAGGACCGAAATTTGCCTTATACGTTCTTACGCGGACAGCCTCTTAAAGGCTGACGTCTCGAACGTTAGCCCTTCGCTAGAGCAATTGGAGGAATTGTGGGTTGTGTGTGGATTTATATGCAGAAAATGGAGCTACGCTATCAGTGGGAATATGGTGACGAGAAAACATAAAAAAATTAGGTGAATGAAGAGTGCTCGTTGATACTGCGGGGACTAAGAGTGCCGATTTGGAAGATAAATCTTTGTTCTACTGTTTTGCGGCTTTCTGAACCGCCTAGATCTTGGGAAAGGCCACAGACTGCCATATCCACTCTTTACGGTGGCCAATTTACGCTTTCAACTCGGTTGTTAACATTAAATTATCTGTTATACTCTCTCTCAGACGCAGCACCTCAGTTTCTTTAGAAACTTGCCCCCTTTATTCGAAAAACTTCACCCCGGCATCCCGGGTTTGTAAGATTGTATGTTAAAGTGGGCCATTTTTTCGACTACGGCTAGGCGGGTTACCTTACCTACTTGGGGTCCCCCACATCTATGTAAACAGGCTTTGAAATCCCAAGCTTGCATCATGAGCCCTGTAAATATGTAAATATGTTATTAACTACTGTGAATAACGGAATGTATGACAATATGAAATATATGACCTTCATATATTCTTAACCGGAATGTCTTATGTTTGAACTGCAGATTAATAGTGAAGGTGAGAGTGATATCTGTAGTAAAGAACACCACTTACGCAGTAGTGAAAATTGAACCCATGACCTCTGCGATACCGGTGCAGTGCTCTACCAACTGAGCTAAGCTAATCGAGAGCTGGTCATTTTGTTGTTTTTTTCATGCTTAATTTTCGCTACCGCTTAGGTAGTGTTCATTACTTCGTAGATCACTCTTATACTTGTTTGTTAATCAGCAGTTTTCACATATGATTTTCAAATATTTACAGCCATTGATTCATCTCGTCACGGGTATATTACGAACCAAAAAAACTACTAGCTCCTTGTTGGCTTGTTGGCTCAGCTGTTAGAGTAATGCACAAGTCATGGGCTAAACTCCCGTACAGGCCTGAATGTTTTTAGGCTTAATTTTCACTACTGCTTAGGTAGTGTCCATTACTGCAAAGATCACTCTCATCTTTAAAATGCCATGTTGCAAAAAAAGCGAAATGTTAGGATTTGAATACACTAGTTGGGAAAACCTTCAACTTTGCCTCGTTTTAATTTTTTGTGCCTTTGAATCTTGAGAGTTTACGGCCGTAGGGCAGGTCTCCAGTTATTCTGCTTCTATCGAGGACAAAGCAATGGTCGAACTGACAACAATTCTTCTCTTGCATCCTTAGTCTCACGCGGACGACCAGACTACACGATCAGATGTTACTCTCGTGTTAAAAGCATTGTATTAGTATATTCAAATAAAAAAAACCCAGACCACAGCAGTTCCATGTAGCCTCTTTGAGCAGTCGGTCTATGCTGAAGACAACAATTACAGAGTAAGTATTGAAGAACTCAATTGAACTCAACGAAAACTGCGACTGAATAAAATTCTGAACCTAGAGACAAGGGATGATTATTCCTCTAACAGTTATAATAACAATTACAATTTATAGCAGTTTATTACTTGTCCTGGTGATTAGTAATCCGGGCAAGACGGCATTTCAGTCCGGTACTTTTAGAAATGTATCATTATTTCGATTCGTAGTAAAACGTTTCAGAAAGTTCCAAAGCGTCAGGAATTCTCTCGCAACCAAATAGTATTAGTGAGATTTCTAGAGATTTATGATGACTCCCCATTAATAGCATCTCCCCATAACGCTATTAACTCTATGACTAAAAATCAACACAGGCACAGTAACGACAGAATGTCAAAAAACATAAAAAAACAACAATGGCTCCCCCAATGAAAGCCCATGGACGCTGTCTAACCCGTCCACCTTCATTACGGCATCCGAATCAGCATTTTATGAACACACCGAAGGTTTAAGCAGAAGTTTTCGGTGGAGTGATTGTGTTTTAGTTTATAAATAGTTCAGTACATGCCTTATCTCAGATCACAGATCGACAAGAGTTGTTGGGCGATGATGATTGGACGTCACAATAGATTGTTTTCTCTTGCGAGGTAATCTCATTCTCACTTCGTCAAATGAAACTAGCGTCTGCAACAACCATATCTTTCACCCAATCCATCAGAACACTCATATCACTGTACACACCGAGTTTATTGGGCTCTTCGCACCCCACTCCCCACGAAACGACGCCAGAAAGGTACCATAACCCACTTTCTTGACACGCCAGCGGTCCTCCACTGTCAAACTGACACGGTCCCACTCCTCCTTTAGCTGAACCTGCGCAGAGAGCCCTTTCGTGTATGAGGCCGTTATAAATCTTCGGGTTGACAAGACATGATTAGAACATTAGTACCCGAGTACCCGCTCGATCAAACATCGCGTCCCCCTCCCCCGCGCTATTTCCAACTTAAAAAGTTATAAGCTATAAAACTAACCGAATTTAAAGGTCACTTATATCGGTATTACGTTCAAGGCTTAAGCATCAAGGAATCTAAACACTTTCTCTCTGTGCTGGTACTTCTGAAATCTAATGCTTCATTAATGAATATCTTAAGTCAAAGAATGATCATCCCTCCAATTCACACATTAAGCTATGTATCGGACCATAGATGCGAGAATCAAAAAAAAAAAAAAAAGAAAGCTGCGATCTGTTGTAGTTTAGACCTGATGGTTCGTTTGCATTGATATTTTCAATTTCTCTCAAAACGAAGGGGTTCATGCTCTTGCGCTATTAATACTCCAACAATTTAAAACACTAGAAAGATGATGGAGCCTTAAGGTCTATAGCTATATCATCATTTTGATAGCTAAAATCAGGAAAAGTTGCAACGCTCAGAAGCGAGATCGAGCGGCTTTGCTTACTGTATCATTATGTAAAATAAAACATATTTCAACATCGATTTTTTTAACAGGAGAGGTAAATTCAAGATAGATATTTTTGTTTAACTCTTACATTTATTCCACCATCCGTATCTTTGCTTGTAAAATTTAGGGAATGTATAAACTGGGGCTTTTTTTTTAGAGTAAACCTCAGTGGTGACCTTTCACACTTCACGCTTTTGATGGCTTGATGTGCAAAACGTTAATACTCATGACCGTTCGCTAAAGTTAGATATAAAAAATAATTACCAATGTTTGAGGGGCATTTATGGCGTATCGGTTCCCTCAGCTCATAGTCTGTTTTCGTCACACATGCATTGGTCTGTTAATGAGATGAATTTGAATTGAATTCAATGAATAAAAATCAAAATCTACAGCCTCTATTCTTCAGTACAGGCCTTTTCTCACTAATCGAGCTGCCAAGTTCTATCAATAAACGAAGGGGACATGATGGCACACTTCCATTCCCTTTCACCCCTACCTCCTTTAGTTTTTTTCAATAATCCATAATCTACTTATCCACACACTGTATGCTTTCTTAGTCTTATCAATACAATCTGCTGATTAAAAAACTCAATTTGTGTATGAGGCAGACTTGCAGCCCTCGACCTGAGAAGAATATCCCTTTGAAGTATGCTAGAGTTTTCTGTAAGCCGCATATGTAAATTGACCTGATTACCATTGGGATTTCCTTTACGAAAATATACTTCTGTATTCCATTCTGCTCTCTAGTTTTTTTCCTTCAAATTCTACTCACCAACGTCATAATCCGACGGAAACTCGTACGTTGATGCGTTAGATGTATATTGTGGGTTGAAGATAGATTTTAGAAATCTCCAAGCTTCTTTTGAGAGATCCATTCACTTTTAAATTGTGTTCACCTGCTATAACACTCTAGTGAGTTGGGATAGCATCTGTGAAAGAAGAAATTCTGCCCTGTTAGGAAAATGGAGATTGATAAGGTCGCAGAAAAATCAGGATCTGTGAGATGGATTTTCATATCTATACAGTGTAGGAGGCGTTGGCCTTCTGTGGTCGGGAATCAAGGTGCAGTGGCCATCGACACCTTTCCTATGTCATACGTAAAAAACTGCCAAGAGATTTAACTTAGTTAATCATCACTATCAATATTTTGACCTGCTGTTACAATAAAGGTGATAAGTTCTTCAATTGCACTGAGTATATTGATTGAGAGACCTCTCAGTGTCCCATCATTTCCTAAAATCATGGCTGTTAATAAATTCGGGAGATTTCTAGTGTTATTTTCTTTGAAACGATAATTTTTTAAAAGTGGGCTTTGACATGACCCACCCGTGCGAACACTACTTTTATTTTTACGAAGTGAAAAGAACATCTGAATAAGATGTGACCTGAGGGAACTTTCATTTCTTTTACCTTTTCGTTATGTTTCTTTGATCTTTTTAGATCTAAAACCACAAATGTATCAATTAGTTTGAGAAGGGCATGTTTCATGGTATACCTTTATCGAAACAGTGAGCAGCTGTCACAATCCAGTTAGAAGTTACCAGAGCCCCCCATAGACTTTTTCACCATCTGAGATCAGTGCTACCTGCCATGGCCAGCGGGATACATGAAAACTTTGCCCTCCCATAATACGCTTGGATGAATTTTTCATAGTGTCATTAGAAAACTGTCTTCCACAATCCTGACCTAAAATGAATAAAGAGATTTTAATTTTTGCAATTTAGCGGTCGACGAAAGAGAAAGCACAATAATCAGGTTGTTAGCGACACCAGGGATTTATGTGAGGTTGTCGACTGCCATGCTATTTGATTTCAAGGTTTCAACGCTATCTCGGACTGCTGGAACGACCAAAGATTGTCTCGATATCGTGTTGTGCTCAGATGCAATAACAAAGAAAACAGAATATGGCATTTAATATTCATGTTGCTTTTCGATAGTTCGCTCGAGGGCTTCTTAACGTTATTTCACGAAATATCTCATTTCATCACATTATTGATGCATATGGCTAAGTGCCAACTCGGATTTCACATTAGTTAGTAAAATTAACGTTCAATGCTGCATCAATCTCTATTTTTTCTGTCTTACAGCAGGCGGAAGCGTCGAACGTACCTCGATGTACGACCTTAATAAAAACACTGAACGATACGTGATAAGCGATAAGCTGAGTTGGGCACAAAACGTGTTTGTGCTTGCGAACAATTAAAGGATTTTGTTTTAATATCAAAGACCGTTTTCCATTAACTGTTAATGTTCAACTCAATTTATCTCGCTGCTATGTACCAACTAAAAGCGTGAAACGGCTAAATTTCTGATCGAAGGGATCGAGGTTTGAGCCCTGGTTGCGCCGGACCGGAATTTTGTATTCTCTGGGAAAGACTGTCGTCTCGAACAATGCTTCATTGCTAAGGTTTGTAAAATAGTACTGACCTATTGTCCAACATGTTAAAGGGGTAATCTATGAATAATCTATACCCCTTTCCAATAAGAATCGGTCCAGTTTATCCCCAGAAAATAAGTTCTTGAGTCGCATGCGTTTAGCTACATAATACTTGATTTTTTAGGACCTTCCTCGATGAAGTACTTCTTGAAGTAACTTTCTGCACATGATACAGGGTTTTATTGGAAACTGTTTCTATATCAAACCTACTTTTTCCACTAAAGGAACAAACTAGCACCACAAGACAAACAGTCCACTCGACTTTTCTAGCGACCTTCCTGTCGACCTGTGATTAACAAGCATGGAATGAAGATTATGAGATAATTTCCCGTTTTTGAATAATTCGGTGGCAAAAAAGGCTTAGTGCATTATAAAATCAAAACCCGACTTTGCATAGAGGGGTAAATTATACAAATTATTTACACAAATGGTGTGATACGAACAGTTCTATATATCTATTTAGGATCTTTGTTAACTGTGGAGGTGAGACTGAGGCCAAGTTACTGAAAAATTTATTGTCACAAATCTTGACCACAGGTCATAACAATCGAAAAAATTATGTCTTACCACGAAAGACTTCATCCATATACCGTGCTAGTGGGAAAAAACGCCGTTATCTTGCTCTCATCGATTGTTCTTTTTATGGAATGATGTTGAACAGAACTTTTGTAATTACAAAGAGTGTCGGTATGATGTTCAATATCACGCTTTACTTCATTGAAACATTTTCACGCAATTAAGTTCCTTGTTCAAGAGCAAATGTTGTTACATGTTGTTGACACAGCATGGAAAAAATTTTCGTAGCGGTGAATATTCATATACCCAATCAGCGATCTTATGTTTCAAGCAATCTGATTCGTTCGCTGTAACGTGCTAATGAACGCTCCTGAGCGAAATACGCGTGAAACACAGTGACTAGAATGAACTAGCGTTTCAGAAAATGGTAGGGAAGTTTTGCTGAAATGATTTATGAGTTAGCGAAGTTTAAAATTATTTTTCCAGAAAACGTCGCTGGTATTTGCTTCAATTCGTGTAATTCATTTAACAGCAGTTAAAAAATGTCTGAAAGCCCTCTTGTTCTCATTGCTCTAATACTCTAAAATAAATAAAAATGATTTTTGTTTATTGCTGATTAGGAAGGATGATTGAGAAAAATTTTAACAAGTCTGAAGTTACTTCACGGCTTAGTTGGCACGAAAGGTTTCCTGTGTTCAAAAAGAAATTTGGGTCTGTTCGCCCTTCGATCATGTAAACCAAATTTATAACAAAGTGGGACAAGTGTTGTACAAAGTGCGACAGCTTTTTATTGAAATGTGCGACAAGTGTTCCTAAAAAAATTGTAACGAGTAAGTGTTCCCGGCGGAATAGGACAGTTTACGATATGACAAATTGCGACAGGTTTTCAAAAGCGTGATTGAACAATCCTTACTTCGATATACGAACGCTGAGCTTAAACCGTTTCATTTCGTTATAAATGAGTTACAAGATTTTGATATTAGATCAAGGTTGAAGCTTTTATTCGATAAGTTTGAGTATTCTAATTACCTGTTTGCAGGATAATTTGCGGATATCCTAGGGAGAGATTACATATTAATCACCTCTGAGAGTTCAAAGGTTAAAGCCGGAGGGTCACTTATCTTGCCATATATTATAAAATACATTAAATTTTGAAAAGGTGAGATCAATCATTGGCATATTACCAGGCATTAGCGCTAAGTAGCTGAGCAAAACCCTCTCCTTTTTTCTTGATTTTATGAGTACAGAAAATGACAGTTGGCAGCTTTAGGCCAGGCATTAGCGCTAAGTAGCTGAGCAAAACCCTCTCCTTTTTTCTTGATTTTATGAGTGCAGAAAATGACAGTTGGCAGCTTTAGGTGATATCATTGACTTAAAGTGTGCACAAGTTTCAATATCACAAGAAAATAACGAACTAATAAAAAAATTTTCTCTCATAAAGATCGCGATCTCCAGTCCGGAAACGGGAAGTCAGTTTATTGTAAAATTCTTTGTGGCAGCTCTCAGAACAGTTTTATTTTTGACCACAGAAAGTTCGTACATTTTCGTACATCCTCATTCCTGTCTTGAACGCCTTTATATCCTGCACCGCCGTTGTGTTCAACACAATTCACACGATGAGGCAATCTTTATCTCTACTGGCACCGTTCAAAATACTGCTCCTGAGTCTTAAAGTTTCTGATCTTATCTATGACATCAATTTTTCTACTAGTCATCATATGTGCTCCGAGGAGAATATTTACCCTTCAACTGTTTACCAAATGGTTTGAGAGTCATTGTATACCTGCATTGATGATGTATTTACTGTTTATGTTTACATTCTTTCGTTGAACTTACTGTCTTTTAGAACCTCTTTCTGGCCACATCTTTTCAAGGAAGATTGTTTTTTTTATTTATCTTCAAATTCAAGAAAACTTTTGTCGGAAAACGACGTCGACGCCATCTTATGTTGAACTGGCCGTGGTGGCATGTAAACGATTGAACTTGTGGTTCACGCGTTGTGTTTTCAGTTGCCTTGGTTCACAAGTGTAGGAAGCGAACTCAAGTGCAAATGCAAGCCAAAGAAAATGAAAGTGTTTTCATTCTTTGTGTTGTCGCTTGCATTTGCATTTGCGTTGGGGTAGTTCACGTGTAAATCCTTGCATTTGCAATAGCGTTTGCGTTTACATTTTCATCCAAAGTGTGAACCAGGCATAAGATTGTAAGCTTACGTACGTAATAAAACTCAAACACAGCTAACTGCGGTCTTCGCAGTGAAGCAGGCCTCAGAAATTACATCGGCCGCCCTTCGAGTGAACAACTACGAGCTTACTCTGATATCCTTTCCGATGTGTTGAGCGGAAAGCCACATCAGACACAGTGGCAGAGTTTTACTGCGCCGTTACCTCGAGAAATCTTCATGTTCCTCTGAATTCGGCTGTTGTAAATTCATAAAACAGCCAAAACTTGCGTTTTACTTATGTTACTTTTTGTGAAGGATTATTAAATTACCAACGGTTTTTAAGCCGCGTGTAAACATTTGCTACCACAACATTCATTTCGAATCCAATTGTGACTATAGAGAGAGAGGAGGAAATTAACAATTCAGTTTTCTTTTTCGGCTATAGGTCGTAACTCAAGTCTTTGCCCAAAACTGCTGCCTAGCCGGCAAAACAAAATATGTTTATGAAAACTTGCAACAAAAGTGGGGATGTACCCGCGACTCAACTCGCAACGGATAGGGTTCCGCCCGCTGTGCGCGGGCCAAATGGGAGAATTTTACCCACTCTTAGAACCAATCATATTGAAGGATTTGTAGAATACCGCCCGCTCAGGCACTAAGAAAAAAAAATTAAGAGTTGTTTATTCGTTGCTCTATGTTTAACAGCAAAGCAGCCATCTGTTACAAATTAAAAGAAAAACATGTAATTTAACTTAGATTCCCTTTTATGTAAATGGTTAAGTGGGAAAGTGATACTAATCTGTCTACTTCCACCTTCTTTTTGGACAGCATCATTCATGTTTTGACGATTTATAAAAAAATTCATCAGCCTTATGTCGTAGTAATTGTTTTCACTTTTTCAATATCATCATTTTTTATATATACCGTCTTTTTCCCCCATTTTTCTTCGTCTATTTTTACCTTGTTTTAGTCTCGTTGCCAATCTAGGATGGGGAATAAAGACCGAAATGAGGGATAATATCACAAAAAATGATTGAGTAGATTGGAACACATTGAGTGATATTATTTCACGGAAGAGACTTTTTCATATCCCATGTTGCAGGCCTTCATTCTGTCTCCATGTAAGGCAGCTGGCTCAGCGTAGGCACCAAACATTTGCAGGCATCTTCAAACTGACAAGCTTTCAGCTTTCAATCTTAATAAGACTGTTTGGAATGAAAAATTATTCAGAATTTCAGTTTACAGGCTAAAAGTATTTAATATCAAGTCTTTAATTTTAGCAATCGGGAGAGATTACTGCCTCAAATACGCAAGAGCACAAAGCACTTGCGCGATTTTGTGATATATGGAGAAAACAGATGACAACTCAATGCTTCGCTTCATTTTGTATTGAACGGCGGACGAATTAAGAAAGCGTTCTAACCATCTGGTCGTATACTAGGATCAATTTATTTAGTTTAGAATCGGCGGGGAGACAGTTTGCCGTAAGTAAACGATCAGGTTTCGATAATTATTGTTCAGTGCACAATGGCAAATCTTGAAGCCCCATCCACATCAAAGTACATCATTATCGTCTTGAACGCCTTCACAGCATTTACAGCCATCGTTTTCAGTAGTTTAACAATTCAAGCCAAAAGGAAAACTCCCTCTTTACCAAAACCTCTGAAAACATTGCTGTCAAGTCTTGCCGTTTCTGATGTCGCTGTTGATTTAGCTGCTCAGCCATTATTCATTGTGCACTTGAAAATTTTGAGAGAAACTGATACCAAGATTTTGTGGGTAATCCATTTTGCACTCGCTAACGCTTCGTTCCTCGGTATCATCGCTCTAAGTCTGGACAGATTCCTGGCCGTTCATCTTCATCTTAGATATCAGGAACTTGTGACTTACAAGCGCTTTCTTGGTCTGGTCGTTTTAGCGTGGGTGTTCAGTGCTCTTCTTCCATTCTTTTGCGTTTGGATCGATGAAGTATGAATACCGCTAACACTATGATTATTGCAATCATCGCTCGGAGTCTATGCTTCATTTTCATAACTGTTATAAGCGTCAGACTTTACTTTGCAGTTAGACACCACGCAAACCAGATTCAAACTTTACAAGTAAAACAAGCAGCACAGAATGGTGACTTGGCAAATGCCTTGGGGCTGAGGAAATCCGCGGTCAGCACATTTTATGCATATTTTGTGTTTTAGCCTGTTATTTGCCATTTTATTGTACTCTTCTTGACCGAGAAATATCTAAGGACTTTTCAACTGGTTTGTTTGATTACTCTAGAACACAAATGTTCATAAATTCATCTCTAAATCCTGTTATTTATTGCTGGAGAATGAGAGACATCCGACAATTTATCGAGGACATACTGCGAAATATATTTCGCAGGACTTAAATGCAGATAATGAAAACAGGACGTTGTATAACTTATTACTTACCAGCCATCTCTATGTATATTATATATTCTTTTTAATTAATTTCGCCAGTTTTCCTTTTTGCGGCTTTTTTTGCGGTTCTAGTTCAGTGAAAGTTGTTAGTTTCTGTGCAAAGTTGTCAAGATTGCCGAATAAAATTTAAATACGTTTTTAAAATAGACTTTTCATTGAAACAACTTTCATTTTTCATATGATTATAGATGAAATGTACTTAGAGGGCATTACGAAAAGACGAGAATGGACACCTGAACATTGAAACAAGAAGGCGACTCTTAGGTGCTGTGGGTCTCCAGTGAATAAATAAAAGGGTGTAAACTTTCTGTTGATACCACTGCAACAGTAAAGGAAATAAAACAAACTTAGTACGTTGAGGTTAACTTTGTATCGCATGGTCGTCTCGCAAAGTCTTTTAAACATCCGAGTTTACCGAAATACTCCTTTCTAGGACTGGTCTGATCATGATACAACGAACATTTATTGTTCTGCCAATGATCACGCTTGATTTCTCCTGGACTAGCTCTTATGATTTGTCTTCTTTGTAAAATGACCGATCGTTGAGGTTGCTTTCGATTATAAATTCTCAGTTCGCACAGCCTTTCTTTTTTACCCGCTTATTAATAAGTTTTATCTTCTCTAGCTCCTCTCCCTTGGTGTAGAACTTTGTAATAAGTCAGCCAGAATCGCGATATCCATTTTCTTTATCCCGAAAGCCACCTAACGGTCATAACATTGTACTAATATTTGTCTCCTATAAGGTCGACATTTTGTATGGGAAACTCATCAGATATGATATATATCTCACCTGATTTATAATGGTAATTGAACTGAGTGGAGTGCAATTTGGGCTGAAATCAAACTGTGATTTCAAAATCGAACTAGCGCGCAGCGCAAGTTCAATTTGAAATCAAATATATGATTTCAGACCAAAATTGCACGACACAAGGTTCAATTACCACTTTATTACATCCATTTTGAAATCACCCAAATACAGGACTTGGTCAGTTCAAATGTTTCACTGATGCAGTACTGAGCTGGTTTGAAATTAAATTCATTTATTTTTTGTGGGGAAGAAAATAAGAGTTTTGAAAACAAAAGTTGCAAAATTTGCCACATGATACTCTTTGTCTTTCATTTTCTTGCAATTTGATTGGTTACTTTAAACAAGCCTTTTTGGTGTAGCCTCCTCATTGGCTGGGAAAAAGATGCGATTTAAAGCAAAAAATGGTGCGATTCGTGAATAAATCGCACCAATCAGATTACAGGGACCACCTGTGATTTCAAAATGGGTGTAATAAAATATATGTTCTGGTGCAAAATAACAAACCATCCACTTGACAATAAATCAGAAATATAGAAAAAAAGACAGCTCAAGTTATAATTATCCTCAAAGCATGCAGTGAAATTATCACAACATATCAAACTAACTGTTAACAAAATCCTATATCAAGTCTCGGCGACCACGCCACCACAACTGTGTGACTCAAGAACACACAAAATTTGGAACCTTTGGCTCGATTACAAAGAAACGTTTTGATAGTGATTAATTTTACCAGAAAAATTTCAAAGACGAATATTGAAGCTACTTTATAACTTATTTTGAAATACCAAAGCTTTAGAATTTAATAGGTCAAAATTCATTTTCTAAAATTACGATTAGGCAATTTTCGAAGGCGTTGAAAGTGTCGTATCACGGTTAGCGCGTAAAAATGGGTCCTAGCTCTTTCGCGCATGTTCGAATTTTAATTGTACCGCCAATTGTTTCCTTTATTTTGGTACATAATTCGTCTAGTTTGCGACCGATTTAGATGGGTCAAATGGCCGCTCAAGTTTGAGAACTCTCACTGGTTTCACTACTGGTCTTCTGCAGATCCGTAGAAGCCGCGGGAGAAAGATCAAAGGGTCCAAAAACAGGATTTCCCGGCCATTCGTTACCTTCGTTTACATGCAAAATGAACAAGTAAGTTTGTTCTCAGAGATACGGAATTTCATATAATACTAAAATTTTGTTGTTACTAAGTCTCGAATATGTCAGATGCCGGTCGTGTTCATCAATTTTTCAACTATCTTCTCTACACAATTGCCAAAGAGAATGGAGAGGGAATTGGCGAATCTTCCTTCGCTGCAGTTGTGGAGAAAATCATGCAACAAACGTGCATTAGAGGTATCGTCGTCAACGATCGGATAACAAGGGTCTTAAGGAAAAAGATTGGGGCCACATGTGCAAAGCTAAAGCGAGCAAAGAGGAAAAGTGGAGGTTTCAGTGTCAAGAAGCTCACTGACAAATGGCGCGACCAAACTTATTCTGTCAAGTTATTTTACCTCGAGCTGAATGATTAATGTAATGAAAATGAGCGCAAAAAGAATCTTTGAAGAATGACATTACCAAGCGACAGAAACTTGAGGAAGAGCTCGACGACACAGAGAAAAGCTGCAAGTATGACAAAAAAAGATTCCAAAGATTCCAACGTGGTGAATTTTCACTCGCCTTGCGACTTTGTCAACGGCTGTCACAACGACAGGATGAAAGTTTACGGTCGTTGGTTTTTCTTCATGTCCTCTCTCTGAATAAAAGCCCCGTTGAAAAGACTCGTCGGAGTATCGTTTTTGGGACCCTCCTTTCCCTTGCAGCCGCCATGTTTACAAATGTAAATTGTCATTGAGCGATTTATACTCTAATGCGCAAGCGCAGTAAGGAAAGCGTTGTCCACACCAGCTTGGACGCCAATTAGAGCAAATATTCGCGCTTATGGAAAATAAGTTTGATATCGCTAACATCAACAAAAAGAATTACTATATCAATAATATTAACAAAAAGAAAGTATGAAGAGTCCGAACCAAAGTTGTGCCAAGATTATTTTACATTTAACTCACCATCTCTTTTTTCTGATTGGCCGAAAGCGTACAGTGAATTTTCAAAATCAGCGCCTGAGACGTCATCTAACTGCAGATTGTACAATCATCGTGTCAAGGACACTCAAGGTCACGGGTAATCATGCATGTCATGTATAACCGCGGTGTATGATTTCTAAGGATAATCATGTCAAGTTCGCGCGCTTTGTGCTGCTTGCTCATTTCTATATTTCTACTGGTGTAGAGATAATTATCAGTTCCAGTTACTGTCGTGACAAAAACAACAACAACAAGCTTTATTACCAAATTGAGAAGTTAAACTTAATTTATACACATAACGTATTAATACAAAAAAAGGTAACATTTACTCAGAATGGCTGAAAAGTTAATCTAGCTGAGTAAAAGTAAATAATGTTTAAATATAGGACGTAGGTTGGCACTAAAGCTTGAGCAAAGCAAATTATTGGTCAAAAAATAAATAAATAAAAATAATAAAAAGAAGAGACTAGTTGAAAACTCATGAGCAGTAAGACTGTAAGATGTTTAATGACTTCGTTTTTAAATGTTTTAAGGGGGAGGTGTTTAATGCTTTCGTCAAGGCGATTCCAAACTTTTACAGCTGTAAAGCAAATGTTGAGTTTACCATAGTTTGTTTTGATGGTATTAATATAATAGGTTAATTTAGAAGCAAGCCTGGTATTGTAAGAGTGCATGGGTGCTGCTGTTTGAAAAAAATTTGCAAAGGGAGATGGAAGAAGATTATAGTAATAGTGATACATAAAAAGTGCATCGTGAAGGATAACAAGATCAGTTTATTTAAGAATCTCTAATTCCTTAAAAAGGGGCTCAGATTGTTCATCTGGTTTTGAGAAAGTTATGATACGTATAGCTCTCTTTTGAAGAATTATAAAAGGTTTAAGAGTAGAGCTATAAGTATTGCCCCAAATTGATAAACCATAGGTGAGGAAGGGGTGAATAATTTAATAATATAATTGATGTAATATGTTTCTGTTTACATAAAATCTAACTTTAGATAGTACTCCAATACCTCTTGAAACCTTCTTGCTCAATTCGTGCAAGTATGGTTTCCAGTTCAAATTGGAGTCAAAAATGGGTCCTAAATATTTAACTTGATTATCAGATTTAACAAATGTATTGGATAAGATTATGAGCTATTCTTCTTTGTGGAGAATGGAATACCACAAAGCTGGTTTTTTCAATGTTCAAAGATAATTTGTTAGCATATAGTCTGGCTTACCTTTTCTAATTCTACATTTAAGTTGGTTTCTAGATTTAGAATGTTAGGACTATTAAGAAACAGGTTTGTATCATCAGAAAAAAGGTGAAATTCTAAGATATTCGAGCATTTAGGCATATCTTTTATGTATAAAAGAAAAAGAAGTGGGCCAAGCACTGACTCCTGTGGTACTCCACATGTGACAGTTTGGTAGTCAGAATTAGCACCAAACAAAGAGACAAACTGTCTTCTGTTACTTAAATAAGATGTAAACCAATCATTTGCGACACCTCGTATGCCATAATACTCCATAATACTCCAACTTGTTTAATATAATTCTATAGTCAACTGTATCAAATGCTTTACATAGATCTAAGAAAATGCCAAAAGAGTAGGTGTCATTATCGACTGATCTTTGTATCTTATCGGCCAAGAGGAGAAGAGCATGGGTGGTCGAATGCTTTTATCTAAAGCCAAACTGATTATTGTGTAGAATAGAAAATTTCTCAAGATAGCTAATAATCCTATTATACATTAATTTTTCAATTACTTTATTAAATATAGAGGGCAAGGAAATAGGTCTATAGTTGGAGACTAAAAAACTGGACCCTTTTTTGTGAATTGGAACTACTCTGGCTACTTTAAATTGATCAGGCACCAAACCAGTAGAAAATGAGCAATTAAAAAGCAGCTGAAGAGGGATTGATAAAACGCCTTTTAAAGTCTTAAGAAGGGAGGTTGAAATACTAGATGGGCCACAAGCCTTGTTAGAACTTAGTGACATAATTATACTCTCAATCTCAGTTGAATTGGTAGGTGATAAGAAGAAACTAGAGGCCTGTGGTTTATCTAGACAACAATTAAATGGTAGATTTGGTTTAGGTACAGCTGACGCCAAGTTTTTTCCAATATTAGGGAAGAATTTATTCAAATGTACACCAATAGCTTTATCATTTGTAATCTCATGTTCATTAATAATTAATTTGCTTCTTTTGTTTTTGCCTTGTTGATCATGAAATATTCTTTATAATAATTGGTTTTACTTAGTTTAATTAGATGATTTAATTTGTTTCGATAACACTTAAATTTGGTATGGCTTTAATATGAACGAGTTTTCTGGTAGTGCCTGTGCAACCCATTTTTATTAATAATGGATGCCTTTACTCCCGGAGTAATCCAGGGCTTTGTTTGAAATTGTGCTTCCTTTCGAGTGAGTAGCTTTAAGAGTAAATGATTATTTATGATATTGATTACTTTTGTGTAAAACTTATCAAAAATTTCATTTGTATCGGATAGTCCATGAAATAAATTAGACCAGTCAATGGAGCTAAATTAATTTAAAAAAGATTCTTCATTATAATTAGAATAATCTCGTCTAAATCTTTTCTCTTTATGCATTAAAAAAGAAAACCTCTCAGTGATGAGAAAATTAGGCAAATGGTCTGTTAGATCATGAAATAAATTCCCACTGACTGTTTGATATTCGATAGAATTAAAGAACATATTATCAATCAGTGTAGAGGAATGATTGGTAATCCTTGTTGGTTTCAGTATGTGGGGCTCTAAAAGAATGAACCTATGATATTAATAAAATCTTCGGTTAAGGGATGTTTATGGAAGTTCAAAAGATTAATATGAAAGTCACCAGATATGACGCAGAGTTTCCTTTCTTGACTGATTTTGCCAATAACCGAGTAAAAGTTATTCAGAAATGTTTCAAGATTGGGATGTCGGTATACTACACCACATATCATATTGCTGTTTAAGTCATATAGCAGATAGCATCAAATGTCGTGACCAAGATCTCAGTGAGGCTAGGGTTATCGGTCTCAGCCTTCTGCTTCGGCTGATAACCCTTATCTCGACCTTGATTATTCTGGATATCACAAAAACCTCATCCAATAATTGTTTCTTATAGAGTCCAAAACAGACTGGAACACGATATTGGGAGTGTTGGTGTGGATCCTTCACTGGAACATAAAAAACTACTCTTCTAAGAATCGCAAGAAAAATGTTAGACCACTGAAAACGTATTAACAGATGGTTAGACCTGTGGGTTACCATATGCGGCTTTAAACCCAAAGAGATAAATCCGGTTTAGAGATCGTAACTCGGTGTAATAATAAATATTGATGATGATAATGATGCTTATGACCACGACAATTTTCATCAAAAATATTCGATCTTGTGGTGTGATCACCCGGCAGAGGGTACTCCTTAGAGGGATTGTTGTAGGAATAAGTGACTGACTTCAGTTTTCGACAACAGGACCTACCAACACTATATTCACTCACTGTGTTCAGACAATTTACTGAATGACTATAACGATGACAATAACAAAAGCAATAACGACTACAATAGCGATTAAAAAAAATAGCAGTGGGGCAGATAGTGACAGACAGCGAAAGTGTTAGGAACAGTAACAGTGAAGGTGACAGAGACGGTGACAGTGAAAGATAGAGCGAAAGTGACAGTGACAGTGACAGTGACCTACAGTGACAATGACAAAAACAATAGCGATGACAATGGGATCTCAATAAATGAAAGTGAGGCGGACAGTGACAAAGACAGTGACAACAACAATGACGTTGACAGTAACAGAGGTAAAGACAGTGAAAGTGAGTGACTCAAAGGAACAATTAAGTGACACTGTCAATTGCATGGAAAGAGACAATAACAGTAAAAGTGACATTGACAAAGACAAAGACGGAGACATTGACGAAGACAGTCACAAAGACAGTCACAAAGACAGTCACAAACAAAGTAACAAGGAAGTGACGAAGCCAGTGATAGTGACAGGGTGAATTAGAGTGAAAGTGAGAGTACTAAAGACAGTTACGATAAAATAGCAGTAGCAAGGACAAAGATAAAGAGAGAGACAGTGAAACTAAGAGTGGCAGTGACAGATACCAAAAGAGAAGTGACGGCGACACTGACGCTGGCACTGAAACTGTCAGTGACAGTGAAATTGGCGTTCAGAGTAACAGTGACATTAAGAGTGAAAGAGACAGCGACAGTGACAGAGACAGTAGCAGAGACAGTGACAGACACAGTGACAACGACCAAGATATTCCTATTAAGCATCTACTGTTGGATTTTGTATCAAAGGCGCGATGGAAATCACTCTGAGTGCTCCCCAAACTTCCCACGGGCATTAATAATTCGAAAAACGCACGCCATTACACAGTGTGGCAAAGGGAAAAGCACCCCTATCCAACCATCCTTGCGACTCTATAGAGCAGATGAATGGCCTACTTCTTGGAAAATGAGTGAATGAACGTCTGCTTCAGAGAAGGGAGATCAACAAGATACAGAAACCTATCGCCTCTTCTCTTCTCTCATGGCTGATGACAAAATATTTGAACAATTAATAAGTAACTGTGTAACATGTTATTTTGACAAACCTTTGCAGTCGTAAAATACTCGTAGCAAAGTTCCATATGTGTACGCCATTTATTATTGACAATGTAATAAACGCCTCTTTTCTCTAACATCATCGTGTTTGATAACGTGATACAGATACGCAGAATAAACGTTTGTCTTTATGACAGTGATATATTTAACGATTCCAGCAGCAATGTAATGTTACAAACTTCTACACTTAGTAACAAATCAGCTTGAACTTCTCATTACTTTTCAAAATCATGTCAGCATAAGTTAAGGAAAAATGTTGATAAAACAGTGTACTTTTATAGTTAAAGCTGACTACCTTTTCAAACATTCAAGTATGAGTGAGCTCCTACGTTGATGCCAATGTTTACATTTTTCACCATTACCATTTAAAACAATTTTGAGAAAGACGAAAACATTACTTAGTTCTTTTATCTTTGTTTAAACCTGCAATGAACATATTCAACTGCATTACATCAATTTACAGCACTAGACGAGAGAAAGTAAATTAAAGATTCTTCGTGTCTTCCATCAAATATTATCTGCAATTTTTTTTGAAGTTATGTTTTTAATGTTCAACCGTTAACTTTTAAATTAAAAGTTTAAAAGCCTTATCAGTCTAGAAAAAAGAGCACGGAGATAGCTGTCATGTTTTTCACCAAATCTAATGTTTCTTCAAGAACCATCCAATAATACTCTTCCTGTTTGATGCAGTATCTTCCACTCCTTGACGGCGACCGATGGCTTTGAGGATCTCGGATTGTTCCTTCATCATGGCGTATATTTCGTCTATCCTATGTTTTACAAATGAAGAAGAAGGTATCATTGAAATGTAAAATGGATTATTGCAGATAGCGTTATTTTAATGAACTGAAATGGAATTTTTGGAATATAACGAAGCAAAAGGGTCCTTTAGCCGAGGAGTGGCAACTGATAAATAATAATAGTTGAACTAAGTGGAGTGCAATTTGGTCTGAAATCATGCGAGTGATTATAAAAATAGAATAAGTTTGATCTAAATCCGAAGTATATCGTTCTTTTAGACCAAAGTGAATCCTAATCAGCTCAATTACCACTCTTTTACAACCACATTGAAATCACAAAATGCAAAATTTATCAAAAGTTCAATCACGAAATTTAAAAAATGGTTTGGGGACATATGCTGCAAGATTTGATTTATAACCGCTTCTTGCATTTGTATTTGCGTTTGTATTTTCCTGTAATTTGATTGGTTACTCCAACAGGCCTTGAAATTAATCTGATTGCTTGTTTTGTTTTATTGTTGCTTTCTTAGTAGTTGGGAAAATATGCAAAAAAATGCGCGGTTCGTGAGTTTAATAATGTGCATGCACAACTTCAGTATGCTCATTGGCTAAGAACACGTCAATTAATCCCAAACAGTAAAGATTGAAATTGATTGCAGAAAGTTAAAATTAAATTGTTCGACAGGAAGTTGCGAATGCATAACAAAATAAAATGGCAGAAAGAAGAGGAGAAAGTAACAACCTTTCAGAGTTTTAGGGAGAATGCTAAGAACAAGAAACACCCAACAAAACATAAGCGAGTGACTAAAAGTTTGGAAGTGTTGGGCTATGACAAAAGTATTGGAACGGACGAAGCGGAGGGTCAGATTAAAATTCTCGAGGGGTTTTACGCAACAGTTCATAAGAAAGACGTGGAAGACTGCGAGCGTTATAGCCTCCGTGTGAATGTTACAGCTTTTTCACCGATGCCAAGCATAGAAAGTGTTTAAACACTCGATTATTCGTAATGAAGCGTTTAAAATCTAGAAGGAAGCTCTTGAGGGAAAAGCTCAACTTCTCCGGCAACAAACCAAAGGCAAGCGGCCGAACCAGTGAGCCGTAAGACGAAACGAGGAAAACGAAGTCACATTTTTTTCTTGTTTATTATAAACAAGTAATCACTTCATTTTTCTCGTACAATTTGGGACAAATCGACACATGAATTTTCAAACACTACACTGGTTGGCCTTTGAAAAACTTACCCGTGTAAGTTACTCACAAATTGCACCCGAAATCATATGATTACATATGCAAATTGTATTGCTGAGTGCCAATCAGATTGCAAGGAGCCAAAGTTATTTCAGAATGGATGTAATGAAGGAGTAAGTTAGTTGCTCAATTAGAAACCAGATAATAGTAGTGCTACGGCAACCATATACATTTTCATCAGCTTTAACGTGTTCTGAAATCTCAAATTAAGTAAAAAGGTGGTCTTCTTAGAGCTAAATTCGCCTATCAGTAATTAAAAATAGCTTGGAGAAAGCGGGAATAAGCTTGTCAGATGTTTGATTTGTATATTTTCGAAATGAATTTTTTTTACTTTGCGTCTTGCTCCATCACCCTGTCAATAATCTGCGCCATGGCTGGAGGAACGCCGTCGTCCTCTCCTTTACTTTCTGCTTTTCCAAATCCAATGATCTTCTCGTAAAGCTTGAAAAATGAAATCATATTCAGTTAAGTGAATGGTGAGTGAATAAATGAATATAGCAATGCATCTTTATCCAACTTGTTCATTACAATGGACATTTCATTTTCAAAATTTAAAACATCGTCGTTGATTGGCCGAAATGTTAATATGATTAAGAATGAGCAAAATCGAATTTAGTAAATAAACATCGAGCGTGATACAAAAATTATATAATTTAATAGGCTGATGAGCGCCTTAACATGTTTTTATGCGCAGAGTTCCATGATCAGAAGCTCTTTTCTAGCCAAGGTACTCTTAAGTTAAAGTTATCTCATATTTTTGAACTGTAGAATGGACTCGACACTTTCCAACTGAACTCGCCCACGGCCCATTACTGACAGGCCGATCTTCGTCCATTCCTAAGTCGGCACGTCCAACCATTTGCTGTTGTATAAAACTTTTTGAACAGTCTAACCATTATTTAGCAATGTCTTACTCTGGTTTGTAGCTTGGATTTTCTGTTTGGAAACTCTTCATATTTATCGATCTGCATGCGTTTTAAAATCCATTGTGGGAGAGATTCCTCGAGCTCCAGGAGCAATTCAACCTATAAAATTAATGAATTTGACGCTTCACATACTTTTCACGGCAGAAACACAAATTTTTCGTTGGAGCCATGTACGTCGCAGTCAGAATCCGTGTTGAAATATCTAGCCTGAATTTGTAAGTTCGCCGAGTGCAGTTCAGTCGACCTTGGTAATAATTTTAAACATCTTTGCTTCTTTAAAATTTATTACTTTCTCTCGATAAAAACAAAAAGAAATTAAAACAAAAAGAAACTAAAATAAAAAAGAGCAGAATGTTTCAGGCTCGCTTAGAGAGCAGTTTTAACATGTGCGCATTATTCCTAAATAAAAATTCATAGTGGCATACCTCAATTCGGTCTGTGATTGTACGAGTTACTTGTCAATCACGAGCATGATTACAGACCGAACTGGATTACATGAAGTCCTGTTATCAATTAATCATAGCCATTACAATTTCCAAAAAATAACAAATACATTTATTTCAGAAAATATATAGACATTTTCTACATTATGAAATTCCTCCATTTTCGGTGAAAATTCCTCAGTTTTGTATGGTTATTGGTATGTTTATTGTAGTCTGTGATTGGCAGATTTAGCCGAGTGGACTCATTTAAAAAAATAGCAGCTGATGCACTACATTTGAGGAAATTGTAATACTTATAATTAATGGTGGTATTGCCTCTGGCAGGTTTTCTGTCTCTCAGTCTCGTTACTAAATACTTCCTTCAATCCCTAGTTCTGTTTTTGGCAGCAGGTGCAACTTCATTTACGAGGGAATATAACCGCTACAAAATATGGACTCAACACGTTCTAGTCATATTTGGTCTACCTGCATCACATAACGATCCATAACAGACTTTTGTTGAATCTTGTCAATATCCCCAACAGCTAAACCGATCTGATGTAAAAGAAGGAAAATCATATAATTATTAATAATTAATTGATTAAATTAAATTAAATTAAATTAATCAATTAAATTAAATTATTATTATTAAAATTAATTAAATAAATAATTAAATTACCAGGGTAAGTAAAAGTGTCTCTATAGAATTATAGCTACTGGTTGGTTCTTCACCCGTCTATATCTCGCGTATTTGGGGCGAAACAACCTTTAATTTTTTTCACCTTGTTAAAGGCACTGAAATTTCTCACAAGTGGAAAAGACAGGACTTTTATCCCCCTCTATAAAGCTGAAGAATCAAAACATACCAGCATGTTCATGAGCACTGAAATTTCTCACAAGTGGAAAAGACAGGACTTTTATCCCCCTCTATAAAGCTGAAGAATCAAAACATACCAGCATGTTCATGAGTATGATGGGCATCGCCAGGGAGAAAAACACGAACATGACATTAGAAGCCAGAGGATAATGCAGTTTTATGTCGGGTATGAAGTCTGATTCGTAGTTCAACTCTCCCAAAGTCATCGCAAAGGTTTTCATCAAAGCGTATTCCAATGTGTCAAAGTTAGACTGAACATAGTAAAATGAAACAAGAATTAACAAGGTTTAGTCCAAATTACCATATCTATTGTAGACCATCCAGATCAGTAATCCTTAGATATTCATAAATGTACTCTGTTCTTCCTAAGAACATTGTTCGTTAGCAGTTTTCATCTAACTTTAATCCATTTTCATGTAAGCTGTAATGATAAGGTAGGAGGATCAATTTGTGCCTTCATTTGAACGTATATGGGCGTATGGGAGACTTAGAAAACTCCTGTACCCCAAATTTTCCTCTTGCATTCATTACGATACAAAAAAAATTTCTTGCCTCTACTTAAATCTTATTTAATCGACTTGGTTAAATTCACTCGATTCTATTTTTCTCCCCAACTGGCTCTTCCCTGACTCAGTTCGCCCAAGTGTAATTGACCATGCATTTAGAAATGAACCCACGTTTAGCTAAAAACGCTAAACACCTTGAAAGCAATACGTTTATACCTTTAAAGCCCCTACCTTGTTATACATGAGCAGGTAAAACGTTGTCCCAAAAGCTACCACAAACAGAAAGAAAAGAAGCAAGACCTACATAGAGTAAAAAGGAAAGAGTTTCTAAAGTTTGCTCCATAAAATCCGACGATTGCATTATCATTGGTCCATTACTTTGAGACTAACTACATTGAAGTCACGAAAGCTATTTTGATAAAAATACAAAAGTAACAGTTAAACCAGACCTGGAAAAGTGTTTTAAACATCGTGAGCAGCATGATTACATACTTTCCATAATACGAAAACCTAAGGAAATAAGCAAAAATATCAATTAAATTTGCATTCTTTTTAATCAAGCGCAAAACATTTGCGGGAAAATGAAATCTATTCCCTTATATCTTGATTATATTCATCGACTCCGTCATCGCAAAAAAATACAAGTTTGTTTATCTATTTATCTGATCAGACAAATGATTGCAAAAAGGACTTCGGCATTAAGCAGCCGTAACATAAGCACAGGCTACCCACTCAAACACCTCTCTAAATTATTTCATCAGTGGTTGTGTTCGTTCCCTAAATTTGGTAAGCTACCCTCGAAACAAGCGATTAATTGGGTAAAAATGTTATATTGCACAGTTGAGGAACGAAGTAAAACATTTAATTTTATCAGCTCCTGAAGTTGATATTATAAAATGGTTTCGTTGCAGGAAATTTGAAATCGACACAAATTTTATTCTAACTCATCTGTACAAGGTGGAGATGACAAAAGGGGTATTGCATTGTCAGGAGTGGGATTCGAACCCACGCCTACAAACGTAGACTGCGACCTGAACGCAGCGCCTTAGACCACTCGGCCATCCTGACCGCCTGGATGCTAAGTGCTCAGGTACGTCAGCCAGGTACGTAAGTCAATAAAAGTTAAAAGGAACCATGACAACAACGCTGACCTCTTCTGCAGACAACTAATTTAGAGCTGCTTCTGTAATCGTATTTTAGAAATTCATATACATTTTATCGATAAACATTAGGCATTGCACCTGAAAACTAGAAGAGCTTTCAAAGTATTATAAGAAAATTTTAGCTACACGTAATACACTTTTGAATCTGGCTGTGGTAACAGCTTTGCGTCTCACCTTCTGAAGTAAAGAACAAGATTGAGCCAAGCAAAAAACAAGGAGAATGCTGCTGCCTCAGATTTATAATGCGCTTTGCAGGCGCAGATCGGAAACACGAAAACAAGTGCAGACACGTAAATCACCCACTCGATGTAGTTTGTGATGGCAGTCCAATACTTAAGGCGCTGTAATAAAAACAAATAAGTGGCTTAGTAATCAGAAATAAATTTATCGACCCCCGTTTTAGGCTTATTAGAAAACAGTTGTAAAAGTTTATTGAAAGACACAAAATGTTTGTAATATATATTTGGATACTTAGTCGAAAAGTTGCTCATGTGAGAAATCATAGTTGACAGCCAAGCATTACTCAACAGTCTTATATTAGATTATAGGGGGTAAGTTTCTAGAGAAAACTGTGGTACTACGTCGGTGGGAGAGAACAAAAGGGTAATGCAGAAAATGGAGCTACACTATTGGTATAAATATGGTGACGGGAACACAAGAAGAAATTAGTTGAATGAGCTTAGAGGTAGTCTGCAGAAGAAGTCAGCGTTGTCATAGGTTTCTTTCAACTTTTATTGAGCTAACCATGCTCACGTTCTTAAGAACTCAGACGGTCAGGATGGCCGAGTGGTCTAAGGCGCTGCGTTCAGGTCGCAGTCTACATTTGTAGGCGTGGGTTCGAATCCCACTCCTGACAGGTCTTTTTTGGTTTAATATTAAACACCTGATTGCATGCTTAGTTAGATTTTTGTCATCCTCTCTTTGTACTAAATTACCCACTCTCATATCAGATTGGGTGCCATACTAACCTGTCTGATGATTTGCACAATTTCCTTTGTGAGATGAATGAGGGCGAACACGATCACAACATAATGGAGAACCACAACAGTCTAAAAGTCATAAAAATAAATACAAAAAGCAATTCACCTTTAAAATGGATTCAGTAATTAAATATTGAGGCCTCCGTTTTTCTTAGCCTCTTGCCTAATATACACTCAGTATAGACTGCAGGACACGTGGTATTGCATTACCACGCAGAAGTGGACGAAACACCGATACCTTAATATGTTTATGCTGCTTTCCTGGGTCTAATTGTATATTTCTCTATCAATAGGTTGATTTAAAGTCTTAAACCTTTCGAAACCTTTTATTTCAAACCCTCTTTGTCAATTTGTGGAGGGTTTTGCCAACAACAAGGAAGTCAAGGGTCACTATAGTGCAATGGTCCAATAAACAAGACACCACAACAACACAAATAATTAAGTTTCACCATACTCTTATCCCCTGATGACACAGTTGACATGGCAGGATTTGAGATCACCGCAATGCTATAAAGTAGGATGTTTTTCTTTTGACTAAGGAACCGTATAAAACGTGAGTACAACACCTCAATATCGTCCCTTATTACCTTTTGAGAACCATTACATGTGATGCTGTCGTCATCGTGCCAGTCCTGGTGAAAAGAGGAAAATGATATTACATGATTTACAAATTATACGTCATAGATCGCTTTAAAGTCGGCGAGGAAAATGAACGTCTGGCAAATTCCGTCTGGAAAAGGTAAGGTTGTATATCTTTGATTATGTACATGCGTATGTAATAATAAGCAAAAAGGCTGCGGTTTCTACTTGAAAAAGTCCTAAATAAGAGCTTACCTCAGGTTAATCTCAAACACTCAAATTTAAGACGGGTACGACGAAAGAACATTCTTATTGAGCGTTTACATAAAATGCAAAAAAATAACTGCAGTAATTTTTTCCTTTTGTGATATAAAGCTCATATTGAATATTGGTTGGCGGAACTGAGCTGATGAGACAAAGAGCTGTGGCACTCACTCTTTTACATAGCATCAGCATTTAAATAACGAGTTACTTACCCAAGTATGTTCGTAGTAGCCTGTGCGATGTTTTGTCATATTTTCAAATTTATAGCCACACAATTCAAGGCTGTTGGCCTTGAGATAAACTGCGAGTCCAGTAAATGGCAAAAGAAAGGCCAGGTACAAAGACAGATTTACGATGAATGTGATCCAACCAAATTTCTTCCTATGGGGTCAAAATTTTTCAAAACAAACTGCTCATAACTGTGTACAGTTAAACATAATTGTCATAAGCAGGCAACCCTCAGGACCCATGTTATTGCCTGCCAATTAGTGATTACTAGTTTAGTGGATGTTTATTCTAGTTTAAAGAGACAACTGAAAGAGAGAAGAACTTGAAAAACAGGACAGCTTTTATTGTTAGCTGACTTTCACTAACTTTTTCTCATTTCTTTAATTTTTACTGATAACTTATATACGTATTCACTTAGTCTTAGGCCATTAGTACTAACATCCCAAGGTTGGTCTCCTGAGGATGTTATTAACACAGTATTTACTTTGACTTTACATCAACAAGTGGAAGGACAAAGTCGACACCGACCTCGAAAGTAACAAGAACTTGACCTCTGAACTTCGAATGGAAAATTATTAAAAATTGAAATATATTTTTAGAAGATACATCTTTTTAATCAGTCCAAATGAATATTTGGTCAATTATTACATTCAGTAAGTTGGAGTAATTAAATTATCCTGTTATTTACCATTTGATGTTCATGAGCACATAGCATACTGGATGAGTCAAGCAATTCTCTCGCCGTCTTTCTGCCATAGTCTACATTCAGGAAGAGAGAGAAATATTACTCATTTGATGTTAAAATTGTTTTGAGCTCTGTTGTAACATTTTCTCTTAAAAAAAGCTCTGGAATGTACGTAGTTAAGTGAGTGTAGGGAGTTATAAGACCTCGCAGGAGCTCTGAGTTGGATTCAAACCCAACTCCACTTGTAACTATTTATGAGATAAATGCGACTTGAGGTTTAACAATCTTGACGATTGATAAAGTTTTCTAATCCGTAGCTTACATGCTTGACTTACGACCATCCAGATTATCAGAATGTACCTTGTTAATTGGCGTACATTTGTACAAGAAAGGTAATTCTTCCTTCCTAGAAACAACATGTTTAGTGGTAATTAACAAGACTTTACTCAAATCTTCACCTTTAGGGCATCTAATGAATGCTCTAACGAACTTGTAAAACTGTTTTGCTTTCCTTGAATCAGCCGCAGATCATATGTTACCTGAGTAGATATTTGCACAAATCGTTGAATAAAATAAAACTGAAACGGTGTGAATGGTGAATGAATAAACGCATAGAATAACGAATGGATAAAAGTGAAATTACAAATAGACCCCCGTATGCTCTGTTACAAATATGCAAAAGATTGATATCACGGGTGGACTTTGACCTCGAACGTCCATAATTTTTTTTTTCTTGCCTACATTCTTCCTCCTCACCATTCTGATCTTGTAATTACTTCTCCTCTTCCTGATTTTGTTATGTTTTGTCTTTAATACCAAAGTCTTACGGCCGTGACCAACCGAAAATCTAAAATAGACGTCGTAAGGCATCAAAGGAAATTGTCTTCAGATCCACATTATTAGAATTCTTTTCTTAAGAGATTCATGATAAAAGTTTTAACAATAATAGGATGATAGTATTAAAGATTTTAACCAACTGAGCAAGGAGAAGCCAGAAAACGAATATGACGTAAGGGGAAGAGCAACAGGAGATACAAATGTTGAACAAAATAATTTAGGGCTCATAAGGCAAGGTTGATAAACCCTGAAGCACATTACAGCCATGTGTCTTTAGAAATTAGAGCGCACTACTAATAAAAATGAAAAGGCAGCTTACTTTGAAATCTTTACTGCTCGAGTCGCCCTCTTGGTCGACACATTGATCAAGAACACGCTAGAAAACAGAAACCAATCAAACGAAGAGAATTATGTTAGGTTATCTAAAAGGTATTGCAGATTAACCAGGACTGCAATGAAAATGAGAAATTGGTCAAATAAGATGACTGTGGTACGATCTGGTAGAAATGTAAATATACTTATATTTACATTTCTACCAGATCGGTTACTTCTAGAAGGTTTTGCATTCGTGCGAAAAACCGTTAAGATGAAGAATCAAATTTTTTTCTCTTTTGTCTCTTTGTTTGGCCTTGTTTCATGTACATAGTTTATTCATTGAATAGACTGTTATATACTGGGCTAGAGACACAAAAAGCTGGGAATTCAGTTATTCACATAGAGCGTGAAATTCTGCATATCACTTACTTCTGCCACCTCCGGCATCTTCTCTACCAAAGTCTGAATCTGAGACACTCCTCCTCCCCCGGCTGAATCCATTACCTCCTTCCATCTGTGTATTAACAAGTGGATGAAAGAAATCAAATGACTTGGTAATAACAATCTCTCACAAGAAATGCAAATAACGAAACCGATCAGCCGTAAGTAAGAGCATCAGCCAAAGCGGCCATGAAATATTCGGGAAGGGCTGCAACTCCTTCTACAAATTAGTGGCAAATTAGTGTTGAATTTCTTTTTTCCAGTGATTGTTTCTCGGTTGCCATTACCTCTGCCTTGAGACAACTTTTAAGCCCCCCCCCCCCGAAAACAAACAAACGACAACAACTGTATATGTGACAGCATGGTTCATTCTGTGGCTTCGTGCGCATCACTTGTCATGGCTCCCCTGCCAAAACGTATCTCTGGCGAATTGTAAAATCACCAGCTATACGTCAAGAGTGAAAAGTCATCGCGGAAAGCTTTATTGCCAATCTGAGACATTCTAATCCTCCTGACAGATCACTGATTTGCAACCCAATACGTACAAGCACAGTAAAAATAAAAAGCAGAGAAAATCCGTCCTACCTGGGCGATTGCTTACCTGGGATGTTCAATGATTGCCATAGCAACCGCTTCTTTGTCGTTCGAGATGGCAAGGTCAAGAACGTTTTGATTTTGCGAGTTTAACAGGATCTCTTGTTCTTTAACAGAGAGCAGGTAAGTTACTAGCGACGCATGGCCAGCGGTCGCTGCCAGATTGAGAGCCGTGTTCTGTGTCAATAAATGAGTTAACTCGTTACTCGTTAAGTCAATGAATGTTAACAGCTAAGAGGGGAGGTAGCATATAAGCCATTTGTTTTTTTTTATTTCAAACATCAAAAGCAACCCTTAGTAGTCAATATCTAATGCATGAATAAGTTAAAAAGTGCAATATACACGTTAGGGGCTCGGTGTGTATGTCAAAATGTTTGTATAAAACAATTTATTAGAAGAAAACACACGCGAATTTCTTAAAACGTTGAAAATGGTTTCAAGTATCGCATACCACGGATGTACGATAAAGTAACGCGCCTATTTCCATTCGAATTTTCTACTTAACAGTAAAATACTACAGCAGTCCACAGCTTCGACTACTAACCTTTGGTCTGATGAATGTAAGTTTAATATGAAGTGAATACCTGATATTTGTCAATGGCGTTTAAACTTCCTGGGTGCGTTTCCAGTATGTACTCGACGCACTCCTCTGAGCCCTTTGTTGCTGCCAGGTGAAGTGGTGTTCGGTCATGATGATCCCTAATAAAAGTGGCGACCATTAAATTTGGCAGAGCACAGTCCATCTTTCTTTCTTAGTCCCTTACGTGAGTCGAAATTGATCCGGGACCGAAAAAGTATCCTGTCGACTTTTTCGCTTACTTCTTAACACTCTCGCGTAATATTGACCACTTAATCGCAGATTAACTGATCAACAGATCATCAGTACCGGCCGCCTATCAAAAGCTTTAGTCCACTCGATTAAAACTCTATTTACTATTCAAGTAGTTGATATGATACTAGTTAAGGATAAAAGTAACAAATAGTGCTCTTTCAGTTTACCTTTCAATTGTTGCACCTTCCATCAAGAGAAGTTTAGCTATTTGTTCATGGCCCTCGTGACACGCCAAATGCAGGGGTGTTTTTCCTTGGTTATTCTGTACATTTATGATTCTCACATTTCTTTTTTTCAGTAGCCTTTGAGCAATCTCCAGCCAGCCATACCTTCAAAAAGTCAAGAAGTGTGTAAAGTTCACAATGAAAACATTGAATTGCCAAGAGTACGTCATCATTTGAAGTATCTATAAGAAATGCCATAGCTCTGCATAGCATACCGGGAGACGATATGGAGAGGCGTATCCAGTGAATCTGATGTGACTTGTTCAGCGGCTTTGTTCTTGCTGATGAAGAGTATGATGTGCTTTAGACATAAAACAAAAATCAGTAAACGAAAATAAGGAGTCGGTGTTTTTACACTTTCCAGTGCTACTCGAGAATTTTTAGTGATGAGGATCGTTCGTTTGCACTGAGGTAAAAGAGAAACTTGATTCGCATCAGAAAGAGTTCATCTCCCACACACTAGTTTCCACTAAAAGTCCGGCTGTTGCTGCAATGTTTCGTTCCAACAATATCGACGGCATCACGTTCCATGAAAAACGACCTTTTTTACTTATTTGTAATCCAAAATTAGAAGAGAGACAGGCTGATTTTGATCGCAGTACCTCAAGACATCCAGCTCGTGCTGCATAATGTACCGGAGTATATCCAGTCGCATCTTTGTCAACCACTAATGACTTGGATGAGGGACTCTAGAATCAATTGGGAGGATAATGTACGTAAGTTACGAGTAACCTACCAAAGTGCTGAGGTTTTCAGTGTCTTTCGTGTCAGTGCAAGGACATAGTTTGGACATGGCGAAAAACTTTGACTATACTTCATTATTTTGATTGGTTTTATAAATATACCAGAATCAATTACGATAAAGAAGGCAACTGACTGTCTTCGGGAACTGTGTTCATGAACCTGGAACGTTGAACACAAATGAAGTGAGATTTCCCCCAACCAACTTCAATTTTTAGCTCGAAAAGAATTGTGCACATGAGAAACGGAGGCTTAGATATATTTCTTCAAAGTGTATTTGTAATGGCAAAAAATTATTCATACGTAATTTATCTAGTGATGATAAGGAATATTACCCTAAGTAAAAACAAATTGAACTAATAATGTTGTGACGTAGGTACCTTCATTAAGGCATCCATGGTACTTGTGTTCCCAATAGCTACATGCAGAGCCGAGCGTAGCTCCATATCTTTGAGTGTTACATCGGCTCCCCGATCCATAAGGAGCTGAACAGTCTCTGTTCCACCCACTGAAGCGGCTAAGAAAAGAGGAGTTTGGCCTTCAATGTCTCTGGGGTCAGCTTCGGCGCCCTGAGTAAAAAAAAATAATGAATAATAAATAGGAAGGACTCAGAATGACCCAAGTGTGTATCCTGTCGATATTTTTTATTATGGCTTCAATCGGCTCCTCCTGAAGGAAACGCAATGTCATAGAGAACCAAGAATTTCAAAATAAGGAATAGTTATACAATGAAAACGGTATTAAGCCCTTTTTTCACACTGCAAATATAACGAAAGGAATGAAAAATCAGCACAGTGCCTGATCATCCTCACTGTCCCAATCAATGCGTTTTGAGCAAAGGTTAGAAAAGAGCCAGCTTTTGCTAAATACTCTTTAGAATTCCAAGAAGAAGGGAAGGAAACAACAGAAGGAAAAAGAGCATCTCCTGGAATAGCTTTTTCTAATAGTATTTAGATTCTATTGATTATAATGAAAAGAAATCCCTCACCTGATCCAATAAAAAGTTTACCACTGTGAAGTGATTGTTCATTGCTGCTCGGTGAATGGGAAACATGCCTTGTTCATCGATGATCTCTTCTTTGCAGATGTCGCGGATCTCATTGGTCAGCAGTTGAACGATCTCAAGAGAGCCTTGTGAGCATGCTAGATGTAAAGCAGTGCTGTTATCTGATTCCTGTTATGGGGTAAAATGTGAACACTACTGAAACGAGTAGTTGAAAAGAATGACAGTTGGCATGTTAGCTCAGTTGGTAGAGCGCTGCTCCGGTATCGCAGAGGTTATGGGTTCAAATCCCGTACGGGCCTAAATTTTTTTTTTTTTTTTTTTTTTTTTTCAGGCCTTCTTTTCACTACTACTTAAGTAGTGTTCATTACTGCGAAGATCGCTTTCATATTCACGTCTTTAACCGCAGTTCAAATATATGACTTCCATACATTCATTCAGGTCCTATTTTCAACTACTCGTTTCAGTAGTGTTCTTAGCTGCGAGGATCTCTTAATTTCATCTCTTCACCGCAGTGCAAATCTATGAATTTCATATATCTAAAATCATCATTCATCACCTGGATGGTTTATTTGGACCCAACACATTGACCAGCCCCCAGTTGGCTTGCGAGCTCAGTTGGTAGAGCGCTGCACCGGTATCGCAGAGGTCATGGGTTCAAATTCCGTACGGGCCTGAATTTTTTTCAGGTCCTATTTTCAACTACTCGTTTCAGTAGTGTTCTTAGCTGCGAGGAGCTCTTAATTTCATCAGAGTTGATTTTGTTCTAAGATATTCAACTCAGACCTTAGGGCACAGATATTTTTTTCTCCAGGATTACAATGTGAATTCAAAGAGTACAAATTTGTTACCTTTGTTTGGCGCACATTTGATCCAAGCTTTAAACTCAACCCTACAATCTGAAGAAGAAAGAAGAGTTTTATTTCGCCGAAAGAAATCAAATTGGATACACAAGATGAAAAAAAGACACGGCTCCTTTAAAGCTCAGGAATATGTGCAAGCTTTCGTTTGGTTATTATTTTTTTTTCGCATGAGAGCATTTATTTCCTTAGAGGTTGAACTATATTTATCGCTGCGGATATAAATATCCCATCCTATTCCTTCATCAAAATTATGGGAGGTGAAGTAGTCTATTTCATGTGTTTCAAATATGCCCTTGACTATTTTCGCAGTGATAAAAATGGTTTTCAAATGAGAAACGTGTCTCACCGGGAGAATCCCGCTGTCCACTGCAAGATGGAGTAAGGTGCTACCTTCATTATCAACGTTGTAGAGGAGACCCTCTAAATTCATGTCTTTCTCCTTGACTGAAAATTAAAGCGAAACACCACAGTCAGGAAATGTTATGAAGCATTTTTTTTTTATGGTTTATATGGTTCAAAATAAAGAAGGAGCAGGATACATAATAGAAAATTATAGTGGTACGACATCAAAGCACAAGTAATCATACCGGCCGCGTCAGTAGACATGTCTTGATACGGGGTCTCGACTTTCTTCCCCTGGGGGGGACCGGGGGGGGGAATACGCGTGGACAATGTTGTAGGTGAACATGCAAGGTACTGTAACAAGTATCTCGGTTTAACTGGTTAGTGGCGTCATTAAAGAGAACTAAAGAACCAAGAGTTTCTTCTTTGCCAGACATTCTTAACTCGAAAAGAACTATCCTTTATGTCACTGATGAGTTTACCGGTTAACTTATACTTTCCCACGGAAGCATGTTATAGTAACCAAGATACAGCATAAAATGAAATGAATTACCAATTCCAGCAAAATATTCAGACACAGCCTGTGCTCCCTTAGCTATTGCGAAACCGAAGGGAGTCATTTTGTCTTCAGCTGCTTGAGCGATGTCGCCTTCGTGCTCCACCTAAAATTAGAGAATTTTGTAAAAAGTGAGAAATGAATCTCTACAGTTTCGTGGAGTCAAATGCTGTTTGACTACCATCTTTTGAGCCAGAGTAACATTCTCGGAGAGAACAATTATCCACTTGCATCAATAGATTTATAGCTATGTTTGTGCATTATGTTACTGTTAACTGTATTCTCGACGCTTAATTGCATAACGTCTCGATCGAATTATCCCTTACCAGCCATCTTACTGATAGTAAGAGCTTCCCTAACCAGTTATCCTGCTGGGCGTACATACAAAATTGGAGGCTTAGTCACTAATACCTTGTCATGTAATGTTCAATGTCTTTTCTCAAAAATTCCTAGATTAAACATGTAAGATTGAAATAAAACACACAGTTTCTTACCAATCGCTTGCAAATGTCAACGCAGTCCATTTGAGCAGCAATGTGAAGAGGTGTGTAAGACCCGAATCCTTTCGCATTAGTGTTGGTTTTACCGTCTTTTAACAATAGCTAGGGATATTAAGAATAGACGACATCATTGATAAGACTTAATACAATCATAATGAAATGCAGGTCTCGCTACCATTAGGTGCACCTAACATGTACAGATGGACACCATCCCTTAATCTCCTGATAAGGATTGATCAAGATCAATATAGTCTTATTAGGAAAGATCGAGAGTTTATTTTCTGCTCAAGAGGCAGCAATGAGGTCAACTATAGTTCTACCAAGTAAAAGTAGGAAAGTATCATTATAACAAGAACAAACATTATATTTTCTCACCACAACAATTGCCTCGCTATCAACTCTGACAGCAGCGTGGAGAGGCGTGTCTCCTCGCTCATCAAGACACTTGACATCAGCTCCTGATTTCAACAGCAGGTCTACGATGTTGAGATGTTTCCCAAGAATGGCATTATGCAACGGGGTTTTGCCAACTGAATCCGGAGCATTTATGTCTAGGGGAAACAAATGCAAAGATACATCTTATAGTTACCTCAATCAATAAGTATATTGAAATGAATTAACTAAGTGTAAGGTGTAAAAAGATCATCAGTGCCAGCCCTGATTCAGCCTAAGAACGTGCCGACACGTACACACCCTACAAGTGTAAAATGATAATAAGTAAAATTGAATGAAAACCATCAGACTAATTTACATGCGCTGGAACTTGAATGCAATTTTCAAAAATACAACTAAAACGGACTTTTGTGCACGAGTGTTTCAAGAAAGCTAGAAAAGACTTAATGTAAGGTGTACGCGTACCCTGCGCGCATGTCACTTCCGGAGTCCAATCCTAATAAGGGACATTCATTTTAATTTTCAGAAAAGCTCCTTTGAAACGAGGATTTTTTTCCTCTCGTTTTTTTACATTACTTGCAGTAATTACATTTACTTAATTTTCTAACACAACTCAAAATTTAAAATATTACGTTCTAAATCACCAATTCAAACAATGGCAGTCAGCTATGTTTGTGATTATATTAAAACAGATACGACAGAGAGTTATGTGATGATCCGTTTGAAAGTAGTTCGAAATGGGACTCTAAATATATAAAGTACTGATTGTGAGCCATTTTTAATTCTTAGATATGAAGGAATATTTGCATAAATGGTCTAAATGATTTTTAGAGTTTTACTCCACACTCACCAACTCCTTTTCCAAGCAATTTTTGCACTTCTGCCTCGTTTCCAGACAAAGCTGCATGATGCAGTTTCTGTATTTTATTACCTTTGCCTGCTTTCTGTCACAGGGAAAAAATAAAGCACAAACATCAAGAACTAGTAAAGTATAGCACTTGAATAACAGAGGGCCAGCAAAGAATACAAGATACATAGCTCTTATTTACATATGGTAAACAAATCAGCCAATCAAATTTAGAAGGTGACGACACAGTCTTCCCGGTTAAAAGTCTCAACCTACGTGTAAGAGATATGGTAAGAGTAGTTAAACTGACAAGAGACAAGTCACATCTCACATCCTTACTTTTCTGTCACAATCAGAATACCAAGTAGCTCTGTGTGTTTGCTAGTTATACTTTAGTAATAATCAAACTTCATTCACAGCATTTTTATATTGCCAATATATTAAGATCTCGAAAAAACTTGCTAAAGCTGGCGATACTAAAGGTTTATCATAAGTAACCCCAAGAAATGACTTTGTTTAACCATCTATGGTTTTCACGACATATCCTTGATATCCTTTCCTCTTAGGAAGTGTCAGGAGCCGGTAAGGCGTGAAACGACCGAGGGTTCTTTTATTGAATTTACCGGGTATCGGATGCAGCAGCCCAAGCAAAATGGCTGCACAGTCTTATTCATAGCTCATTATCTCATCATTAGCACTTTTTAGCTCATAAAGGTTCGTAAACAACTCGCACCACGCTCGGAGATTATCTCGCCTCCCGAAACCGCAAACCAATGGGACAACGGGACCTCCTGGCGTCAATAACGATGGATCAAGATTTCCCGGGAAAAGTGATCCATGGCGGACACGTTTTTTCATCTCGATCGTTCTGTAGAGCGTTGAGGAGGACGACAACGCCAACGCCATAGGAAAAACCCGTGGCAAAAATGGAAAAACCTCAAAATGTGCTGAGAAGCAAGAAAAAGAATCGACAGACGGCTTTCAAAATAACATTTCGAGGCAATTGTTAAAGTTCATGTGTCAAGGCTGGTACTTGCATAAATAAAAGAAACCTCATTTTCGCTCTATGTATGACAAATTTTGGTTTGACGCGACTTTGTTCGAAATCTTTCGTCTTAGGGCCTGTTTTTTTTTTCCTCTTTTTATACCAAGGTCTTTCTTCTGCATTTGTTTTTTCCATGAGCAAAAATTTTTCCATAAGCAAAGAGCTTCCACGTCTGAATTTTGTCAATTGCGCGATGTAAACAAAATATGCAAATAACATGACCAACGAGCCCTGAAGATGACCGCTTGCCGCGAAAATTCCCCCAGGGGACTCGCTCAGTTACGAGATTGTGACAGCTTCCTAATTTATTATCTTTTAAACGGTTGTGAATATATGGAAGTCATATATTTGAACTGTGGTTAAAGACGTGAATATGAAAGCGATCTTCGCTTTCAAGAAGGCCTGAAGAAAAAAAAATTCAGGCCTGTACGGGATTTGAACCCATGACCTCTGCGATACCGGTGCAGTGCTGAAAGATCGCTTTCATATTCAAGTCTTTAACCGCAGTTCAAATATATGAATTCCATATATTCACAACCGTTTATTCACCACTTCACGGGTTTATTTGGAACCAACACAGTTGGCTTGTTAGCTCAGTTGGTAGAGCACTACACCGGTATCGCAAAGGTCATAGGTTCAAATCCCGTACAGGCCTGAATTTTTTTCAGGCCTTCTTTTCACTACTACTTAAGTAGTGTTCATTACTGCGAAGATCGCTTTCATATTCACGTTTTTATCTTTTATTTGAAATTACGTTTTTCTTAATAACTCGGGTACTCTTGGAAATTTTAGAACATGTTTTCTTGGAAACGTTAGGCAAAATGTTTGAAGTCAGTTTAGTCAAATTAAAGAAAAAACGATTTTTCGGCCTCTGAAGGTGGGAAGTAACCTTGATTCCTAAGTTTTGGAGTGTTTACACTGTTTACACTGTTGTTGAATATTATTCACACCATGTTTCGCACTCAATCCACTTAATTGGCAGCATTGATTGAAAAAATGACTTTTGGTCAGAAAATTAAGTTAATTTGCTTACTAACTTTAATCTCAGACCAAATATTATGGATTAAGCTCATGCGAAAACGTTCGGTAATGGGACTTTGAAAAGTTACTTACAATGCTCGAGGCAATAAGGACTCCTATGAAGCATGTGTTAATTGACATTTTGTCTAAAATTTCGTACCTCCTCTCGGATACAAATACCTTTATTTGCAGCGAACAAAAGTATAATCGGCCTCCAATTCTTTAGCCCGAGTCATGCGTAATCATAATGATTACCGGTTTGTAGCTACGCTGTTACCTAAATACGTAGTACCGTCAAAAGACTCCTAAAGGTAGATTTTCAAAAATAAGTACAAATCTCACCAGCTTTCTATAAGATGAATAGTCCATATGAGTATTGGTTATGTATCGCACAACTGGAGGGCCAATACGTGCACACTCGCTGTATTCTGACGTATCTTGTACAGTTTGTTGCGCTGCTGTACCCGTAAATTTAAGCGACTACATGCAAACAATGTACTTCAGATGCATAAGCACAGGCTGTGCCACAAATAAACTCGTTCGAGAGTTAGTTTCTCATTAAAAGTTATGAAATTTTGATATCGTACGTCAGTAATAATTACGCTCGGTTTGATTAAAGTTCCGGTGGCCTAATCTGTTAAGCTTTCTGTTTTGAATGGCTAAAATATAGTATCAAACCTCAAGGCTTCTTCACAGCGATGTTTATCTAAGAGTTGTGCGAAACTTCGAGAAATATCACACAGTTTTGTAAATCCAGATTTTTAAATTGACAGTAAGTTTCAGTCAAATCGCTGGATGCACTTCCAGGAAGGAAGGGAGCGACTTACCGATGCAAGTATGTAAGTAAATATCACCTTAGTCTTTCTAAACACATCAAAACATCGCTAAACAATGGACATCACACGAAAAACTCATGTACTTTCTCACTCCAAAGCTTGAGTAAGGTAAGATGTCTTACCTGGTGATGTTTTGCCCGAATGGCATTTTTTGGCGTCCCTGTTTGTTTGGTTGAGTTACCGTTAGTATCGGCGTGGTTTTCATCAGCCTCTGAAGCATCAGAATGCGCACTAATTTGACTGAACTTCCTTAAGCTGATGTTTGATCGCTGTATCTCCGGGCTGCCTGGCGGATTTGAATTTAAAGAGATATCTTTCTCTTTATATCGGTCTGATTTGGACAAAGATCCTAAAGATGACTGTAGGTAGGACGTTGGCCGTTTTTTAAGAACTTGTTTTTGGTACATACTTCCAGGAGACGCAGCCATTGTAGAACTATTACGACCTGCTTCGCTCGACCACCAAGAAAAGACTGATTTTGTAACTACGTTTCTTTGGGAACAAAGTTATTTCTTTCATTTTGCGGATGTTCCGAAAGTTTGTTTGCACCTAACTCAGAACATGCTTAACAATCAATTTATTGACATGTGTCCCACCACCGAACAAACTTAAAGCTACTTCACCAACGGTGACGTGGGTATGTTTACAATAGTTTATTGATATGCAAATCGATTCTAATGTAATATATTTGGAGAGGCAACAATTAGCATTTCTACTTAAATAGCATCACAAATAACTGTATATATTCGGAATACCAGATGAAGGCCTGATAGAGATTGAGATTCTCATATCTTAGGTATTTACGTTCTCAGGATATCCCTGAGGGACGTTCTTTAGTAAAAGTCCAGTTATCTGCGTGACTCTAAACTAACTATGATGTAAGCGTCAAGCAGACAATGAAAAAATTCACTTGCGTAATGAGACATTCAAATATCGAAACACATGACGCTTCTTCAGTTTTGATGACATAAATTTCTTTTCCATTTATTGCCATTCAGTTTGTTCGGTTGGCCTCTTTGTTTGACAATTTATAAGTTTTTGGGTGACTTTGTAAGCCAGGGAAGTGACGTTTTACTTTTGTTTGCACATATATCGATTACAACCGTAGGTGAAAGAAAATCAGTTATGCAAAGGTGATCATGATCCCACCCCACTGCTTTCTTCAGTTATATACTCCACATGCTTGAAATCTTTCAAAATACAGTCAAACCTTCCAAACAAGGAGGGTAAAGGAACACAGCAAATTGCCCGTATTGGAGGGCTGTCTGTTTTGCTCATAAGTTACGACTATGACGTCACTTATATGATTCCACAGACAGTTTTCAAATATATAGTAACAAAAACAGGCGCACATTTTGATTTATTAGGACGCTGTCTCACAGAAGAACAAAACCAGTGCTACAAAGCAATGGTATAGTTTTTTTAAAATCTGGGTGCATATCTTAAAAATTGCAAGCCTTCAAATAGTCTGTGGCATTCCTTTGTAAAACTTTCGTGAATCGGTTTTTGAAAGAAATGAATGACATCAAGTTTGATACTATTATTATTATTATTTTCATATCAGAAAAAGAAAAAATATTATAATTTTGTCGGAGCACCCGGCGGAAACTCTCTTTACTGATAGAGAGGTGTCTGCACTAAAGACACGCATTATAAATCAGGGAAGGATCCAAATAAATGGGGGATTAGCTCAAATGGTAGAGCGCCCGCTTAGCATGCGGGAGGTACCGGGATCGATGCCCGGATCCTCCAGATTTTTGCTCTTGAGTTTAAAATAGTTTTCATTTCTTTCTTTACCATTGATTTAAAAAAATCAAAAAATAAATAAAAAATAAATAAAAAGACTGTGAGTGGAGTACGTGAAGAATGAAATTTTCTCTGCGTTTCACAGATGAACTTACATTAGATTTTCCAAAACGAACGGATGTTTTGGATTTCACAGTCCACTCAAACTTGCATCACGAGTGAAACCTTTTGCCGCCTATATCCCATGGTAACGGCTTATGAGCAGTATGCTATGCAAGGAAAATGATCGTGAACACAATATCAATTAATGTATGGCTCTTTTGCAGCGCGCTCCACAGTTCGGCGCACAACAGTATACAAAAACCTTTGGAAATTATCGTTTTGGTAAATGAGATTTATGAAACGTCAAATTGAATTTTGCTCTTAAATTCAACGCGTAATACAGAATTAACGAAATTTTTATTAATGTCCTACCGTGTATTCAGGTGGCCTTCCAGTGCTAATTACGCAAATTCAGCTTAGACCTGACAGCTTTGAAATAAGATACTTTTTTTATCCCTCAGAATTCACCTCAGAGAGAGCCAGATATTACAGTTTTTTGTGTTGCTACTTTGGATTTTGGGGCAGAATGGATAGATTCCTGCATGAGAGTTTTAAAAAAAAGTTTCCTCCCAAATTATGGCTTTGAATAAATTTCTCTCTTGTTTAAAGAGGGGCCGACATCGTTACCAAACATTTGTTACAAAAACTCATCTGTCATACTACCAAGACACGAGTTGCTGTTTTATGAGAAAATCAAGCTGGTCTATATTTAATTTATTTGTCCTGAAATGATACTCTTTGTATACGAAAATGGTAAAGCAAGAAAAATACAATTCTCTCAGACACTAAGACTTAACTGGCGATTATTATGATAGCAGAATGATTGTTTATCAGTTTACTCACTTTTATTAAACTTTGCTGCCAAGCGTCGCTCCTCTATATCCTTCGTTCTATTCAAATCTGTTATTGGATATGTTTTACTCATAGCGTAGCTCATACGGAAAAAAAATCCATACATTGACATACAGAAGTTTTATGGGAAGAACCTAGCTTGAAGTATCAACATTTAAATCTGTCCACAATTTAACACAGCTAATTGAATAACAAGAGTCATTATACGCGACAGATAAGCTCCAGGGCTTGAAATTTCTGTAAAACGTAAGTACAGAATTTGTAAAGTTAAGTTTTTTTTTTCTACCTCACATCGCCATCTTTTTGTTTGTTTGTTCATAAAGAGAAATAAAGCTTTCCTTTAGAATGCATTAGATCGGTTTAGACTGGACTCTTGATACAGCCGCAACAGATGAGTGCATCTACTCTTGGAAACATACCTGGGCTTGTAAAAAAGAATTCATTCTCTCACAATTTTCTTCTCAAAATATTTGGTATCCGTTGCCAGTGATTTGATCTTTGCGCGATGAGCGAACAATCAACTTGTCCGTAAAAGGTGAGGCCGTGAGAGGAATGGTAAGGACTCGATGAAGTCTCTGAAACTTTTTTTTTAATTCTTGTCGTCACTAGCAACAAATGACACTCTTCCACTATTATGGACCTGTCTCTTTTAAAACTTTTTTGTTTCAATTTTACCCAAAGGCCATTGATTTCCAAACAGTTGGGTATTTTGAATATAAAGACTTGAAATCGGTTTTGATTTAATTTGTATTGACACTTTTTGAAAAAATATGACAACTACAGAATAAAGAATGAAATAGTTTTGAAAGAATCCGTCACTTTACACTTCGGGTATTAAAATGCTTGCGACCCCGCGTGCGAGCCCAAAACCTCATCCATTATCAGGTATGTGCAGAGCTGTCCTGCAAATTAGCTTTTGAACTCTCCTCCAAAATATTTCGCCCAAAAGCTTTTGCTTAACAAACGGGATCGCAAAATACAAAGGCAAAGGAAATGGCTCTGCTGGGCTGTGGGAGGCTCTTTGCTTCGCTACACTACCTCGCCTGGCATTTGAGAAGGAAGGAGATAAAAGTGAGAAGACAGCTACATTTGGAAACCAACATTTTTATAAAAGTTCGGTGTTACATCAACCACAAATCGCATTTTTGTGCGCAATTATTATGAAAAAAAATAGTTGTTGTTGTGGCACCCACACGCTTGTCTATCATTTCCCACTTTGAGATCGTAGAGAGATCGTAGAGGATGTCAAAATAAGACAGAGGATGTCAGTGGCACAGGTAATGCAGGCGACTGAGTCACTGATTTGTTGTTTTATTTAAAGAAAAAGAACAGGAGATTAAACTTTCCCTCATATGGATTTGCATTTTCTTTCTTTACATTGTTCGTTAATGGGTCCTTTTTTCAATTTTATGCGCTAGACTGTCGAGTTTATTGAAGCGTGCATTTCACGGGAGCAGCATACTGTGTCTGGAGTTGTTATGGCTTGTGAATTTGAATGAAATTGCTGAAAAAATGCTAATGATCAAAATACGGTCAAGAAACAACAATTTTTATCGACTTTTATCGATTTTCAATGTTATATGTATATTCTTTTGATTTTACCTGATCATCGACTTTATCGATATCCTGTTACAAAGTCTTCATCTCTTTCGCAAACGTTTGCCTTGCGTTTTCATGTGTGACGGCCTGCGTAGCGTTTGGCTCTTTGCATAGTTATACGAAGGACAGCCCCCATACACTTCATCGGAAGTGTTTCTATATCTCGCAGAAGTTCCAAGAAACACTTTGGATACAGTATCTGCGGCATCTATGTCTTGTAGCAGTCATTCATAACAGAGTTACACTCACAGGCAAATCGGAGCTCTATGATCTTATTACTCTTATGTCAGGCGGTATTCTTAATCCATCTTCTACACTTGAAAACATATTCACTAATTGAGTTGGGAATTAACAATTACTTTGGAGCTTTTCAAACTCTTATCAAACTTTCTACAACTAAATTTTCTTAAAAAACCGAAATTTATCACCAGTTTTTTTTTTTAACTATAGATACTTTAGTTTAATTTATAGGTGTTTTTACTGCCCTGTTGTATGTCAATTTTAAAGTAGCCTGAAAAGACGACAACTTTTAGCGCAGCTCGCCATTTGATGGCCTTGATATTGAGAAACTGACATTAACAGGTGTAGAATGAAATGTTTTCATTCATACAGGCATTTCTGAAATTAACCAACACAGGCTTACCAGTTTTCCAATCAAGCTAGCAGGCTCTTTCCAGATGCCGTTTGAATCTGGTGCTGACTTTATTAGGGCTTCATCCATTTCTCCAGCGTCGCACAGATTTCAGAGCGCTCAGAAATATAACTTTCCCCTGTTGACTATATCAGTGTGCTAGGCTGCTGGCCTGAGAAAATGCGTCAACAAAGTTGCGATAGTTCCTAGTTTTGAATGCGGAGGTGGAGAAGATAATGTTGTCCCAAAATATTTCCGACAATTAATAATGAGTGCTATTTTAAGAGGTGCCCACAGCCCTCTTAATGCTGTATAATGATCGGTTTGATTTGAAAATTCCTGTTGCCAATCAATCATCTGAAAGGTTAGGTCACAACGTTCCTGATTCAAGAGCCAGCTGTCACGAGTTATCTTGGCTGAAGTTTTGAGATTTATCTTTTCGAGAGAGCTAACTAGCTTTCCAATTAGTCTCATAAATCATGAACTGCTTTTAATTTA